GAATATGCTAATTGACTGCCACGCCTTCAAAAATGGCTTTGCCCTCAGCCACAAGATGGTGATGCCCAGTCCCCTCAGCTCTGCAGGTGTGGCAATCATGGGGTAGTTCCACATGCCTGCCTCCAGAGTCCCCCAGTCCTCTCAGCCACCCAGCCATCCACAGCCGCCTGAGGCTCAGGTAACCAGGGCCAGCTGAATGCTGCTGGCAGTGGCAGCAGCAGAGGTGTGATGAGGTGTTGCCTTCCCTTGATTGCCCGGTTGCCTCCTGCCCCTGAGGGCTCCTGGATTGTGAAAGAAGGCAGGCCAGGCTGAGGGAAGCCCCTCTCCAGTGCATGAATTTTTATGCACCAGGCCTCTAGTGCAATTATAAAATGAATTGTTATTCAAATAGGTAGTAATCTAAAGTGGTTTCCATGTAACAAAACTCTCATCTTATTATCTGATGGCAATGGCCTAATTCTAATGTCTGCAATATCTGATGAACTGTCACTATATTTGGTTACTTCCCAATTGGCACTATTTATATTTGTCACCTGTAGAAAGTTGAAGATCCCTATGGCTGGCAGAATAAGAAAAAAAACTCCTTTGGAGAATGCAGAAGCAAGCCTGGTTCTTTTTTTCTCCTATCATTCTTTTCTTTCTCTACCTCAAGTTGTTCCCCTAAGATCTTCTCTAGATAAATGTTTCTCCATCATTCAATAATGGGTAATGAAGAACCTAGCCATTGAAATAGTGGATATATAGGGAAATCTGTCAATGAAACTACATTTTAATTCATTCATTCCCATACCACAACTAAGAATTGATTCTTACCATCCCAACAGCAGATTCCATAAGTCAAACTCTAGCTTTAGGCCCTACTAACTGAATCTACAGTGTGGTGAAAATATACTTTCAAACAGAATAAGATTACTTAAAACTTCAATACTTGTACCCAGCAGATTTTAAAGACCACTTCATTATATGCCTTTATCATTTGTTAAATGTTTACATATATGATCCAAAGGATTTAACTACAAACATTACTTTTTCCTATTGCTATGTTTCTTTACAACCACTACCACCACCACCCTCCCCCCCCAAATATGAGAAGTCTCTTAATGTATGCTGAAGATGAAAAATAAACCACTTTGTAGATTTAAAAGAGCTTTTTGACAAGGATAAAAATGAACCTCTTTGCAATAGTTTAAGTGGTCTTTCTTTTAAACCTCAAACTGTGAAAAATCATTATTAAAGTTAGTTTCCCACCTGCTTTTTTTCTGAGTAGCTGAACCCACTATTTTCAAGCTAACTTCCTAAACACTTTGATTCATAATAGACATTTAAAAAATCACTGTAGGAACATTTTATTTATTATCTGACTTTAAGATCAGCAAAGATACTGTAATTTGAAGTATTCCCTTGTTAGATGTACCATGACAACTCAACCATGCTCCAAAAGAATGCAGTTAACAAGTGGACTAGAGGTTGGCAGTAAGTAGTAAACCAGGGAGAGGTAATCCACATCTCACAGGCAGTGGCTGAATGACCCCTAACTACCAACTAGACTGAATAGTTCTGACTAGAGGAAAGAAAGGAATGGAGAAAATGATAATTATTTAAAAATGAGATGAAAATATTTGTGATTTCTTGTAAACAGATGTGCTCTGGCTTTTGAGCCCTTGTTATCTAGCTGCATAAAATACTCCATTTATATCTATATTTTTGTTAAGTAGTGTATAAATAGGACGAGGGTGTGTGTGTGTGTGTGTGTGTGTGTGTGTATATATATATATATATATATATATATATACCATTTATTTTCTAAAACTAACTTTCTAATCCCTACTGCAAGTTGTGTTAGATGTTCATTTGTGAGAACTCAATCAACATTTATCAAATTAACTGATCAAATTAGCTGTAACCTCCATGATCCTTGTCAATGAATAGGTTATGATTATTGGGAAACTGGTACCCTTTGTCTCCTGAGGGGCGATCGAAGCAACAACTACCACTCACACCAGCTGCTGGTGCTGGCCCCAATGGCCCCAAGGTGCCAGTGGTGGCAGTGGGAATGGGGCTGCTGGCAGAGAGGAGCCAGGCTGCAGCAGGAGGGGCCCGGTGGTGGTGCAGAGGATGGGCTGAGACCTGCCCGTGTGCCCACTGCAGCATTGCAGCCCACAGTTCCTTTTAAGATGCACGAATTCATGCACTGGGCCTATAGTAAAAAATAAAAAATCTTTTTAGAAAAGAATAAAGGCTGTTTACTAGGGAGAAAAAAACTTGATTCTCTAACAAATTTTCTTGGTCACTTTGCTTATTTTGGAAGTGACCAAGAAACTTTGTTAGAGAACCATGTTTTTCCTTTGTGCTTTTGAAAGCAAAGGGTAAAGCAGGTATTATTAATTTATCCATTCTGGCTACCTGCATGGTCCCTGGTGTGGGCTCTTGCTTTGGTGGATCATGACTTAATCCTTAATAAATCACTATAACTTAGGACATTTCTAATAGGAAACGCTCATGTTGTGTCTATGTTGAAATGCTTCCTTTTAAAAACTTGGTTTCTACTGATGCGCTTTGGAAAAAGCTTACATACTTGGCCTGAAATGAAAAAAGAACCTGAGAAAATGTGGAAGGAAGAGAACATGCAAAATAAGTTAATCATTATCATTTCAAGTGCCACCAGGTCTGTTTATATTCATGCTCGTGTGAATTGCTGAATCTCATTTGATCAACCAATTAAACATTAAATAGTTGCAGCCAGTTATGCAAATATCAGCAACAATGTTAATTTGTTGATCTTTTTGAGCGATTAGCCTTACATGTTTCTAGACTATCTTATGCCTTAAATGATCAATTAGTGTTACAATAACGAAGTCTTGAAGAATGGATAATTGCCTAGTTCTAATGTGCCACTCTTGCTGTATTAATCCACTGCAATTAAATAAAATAGTACACAAGGAAAAAGGATGTGCAGATGTTCCCTTTAAATCTATTTCACAAATTAGCATCAAGGTCAATTTCTTGTCTTTTACTTACAGAGGAATGGCAGGTTGTGTTCTCTGTTATATGAGACCTTCAGTTTCTTTAAATATATATTCTCAAACGTCACAAGTCTGATGGGAAGGGCTTAAAATGCTCTTAAAATTTTTTGAGAAATCATACAGATGTAATGTCAAAACATTGTTCTCTAGCTTTCATAATGGACATGTCTTTCTATACTCAATTTAGGGATGCAAAGTATAAAAAGCATTTATAGCAAACAAAGGCTTTCCATTTCTCTTAGGAATGTGAGTCTGATCGTGTATGTGCGACTTGACAGGCTAAAATTATTGGGAAGTCTTTTCTAGAATACTGTATTAAAAATGAGGTCCCAGGATTTAGCTAAGATGAACACATACCCTTAGAGTGCTACATGGGGAAGGAGTGTAGAGGACAGAGAAAACTCCTGAGGCTGAAAAGAACATTCTCCCAAGACTTCTGATCAACAATTAAAAGCCCCCTAAAAGATATTTTTACCATTCTGTTTCATCTTATACCTCCCTAATTTTCATTTTACCATTCATATCTAAAAAAAACCCCATGGCCAAAAGTCTTGGGAAAGTATCAAAGCCCCATTTGCTATGTGCTGCTAAATGCCTTCAGGAAAAATTTTCAGAGCATCAAACTTTTAGAATGTTATTTTTCCTTGCTTTGAAAAGAGAATAAAATATGATCAGCAAGATGAAAAGTTATTAGTACCAAAGGAAACCAAAATAGAACATCTGAGAGCTGACCTTCCAAGGGTAAATGTTTGCTATTTTACTTTTACTTTTCCCTAGATAACCAGGATACAATTTTAACTCAGAGCTCCTAAACGAGGAAAATATCATCTATAATTGCTCTCCCTGTGCCCTAACCACGTGCTCATCCAATCCCCATTCAACCAAAAAGATCAACTGTAAGACCAATGTATAAAAACCAGAGCATACCTCTCTTTGCTTCCCACTAAAAACAAGCAAACAAACAAACCCCTCATTATGATTTATTTTTTTATTTAACACATAACATTTGTCATTTCCATTTGGTAGGAATGCTATCATGACTTCTCTGTAGAGTCATACTTTCAATTTCAAGACAGTTTTTACACATGAAGTAATTCCTCCCAGGAACTGTGCCTCTGAGTATCTCTAATGACTTAGCAGTCCATGGAAAACAAATGGCAATAAGAGGTAAAATATACACAAGGTCAGGATCAATCACCATTCTAAGAAAGAGGTTTCATAATATAGAAACAAAGAAGGTTCACTTCTATAGAAGGTAAATGTCCACTTAATCATTATTTACTGAGTACCTACTATGTGCCATGCATTGGGGATACAAAGATCTCTAAGGCACAAGGTCCTCATGTTGTTGTGGAGCCTAAGAAGCAGCCAATTATGATACAATGTGGAAAAGGCAGTGGTGGAAATGTGCAGGCATCTTGCTGACACACAAGGAGAGCTTAGAGCAGACTGTGACATCAGGAAGAAGGGAGACATTGACTTAAGATGGACTTGGGGGCCTGAAAAAAAACAAAAACTGAGACATGAGAAAATCCAGTTCTTCAAAGTTTTTTGATTAAAAACAAAACAAAACAAACACTTTCTGAGGATGAAACATGTCAGAGGAAGTACTTAGATCAGCTTTCAAACACACACACAAAAAATCGTTTGGTTGAGGAGCAGAATATATCCTATGCTAAAGAATAAACAAACATTATTGTCGGAGTGACATATGAAGGGAGACACTAAATTATTGAGGGAATGCTATGCTAGATGGCTTCCTAAGGGAAGGTCACATAAGCTTCCACTACCAAGTTTACAAAACGCCGGTTGATGGTTGCAATTCATTTTCTCTGGCAGAAAGAAACAATCGCCCTGCTACCACTGATAATATATACTACATTATGCACAACTAAAAACAGCTAGCCAAAGAATCTACCATATTTCAAAAACAAGTCTGTCCCATGAGCATACAGAAAATATCCTGTATTTTTTAATTCAGGATAGGATGATTGTCCAGTCGCTCTCTTCTCTTCCATACTGCAACAAAAACAAGAAAACATGTTTCAGTCTACAAGCTAACAATGCTGGAATAGTTTATAAATAAACTCAAAATAAACATTGTACGAAAGGTTCGCTTCTGTTTTGAACATAAAAAATATATTCACATGAAAAATAAGATTAGACAGTCCTAGATAGTTTGGCTCAGTGGATAGAGCATTGGCCTGTGAATGGAAGGGTCCCGGGTTCAATTCTGGTCGAGGGCACATGCCTGGGTTGAGGAATCAATCCCTAATAGGGAGCATGCAGGAGGCAGCCAATCAATGACTCTCTCATCACTTATGTTTATAACTCTCTCTCCCTCTCCCTTCCTCTCTGAAATTAATAAAGATATATTTTAAAAAATAAGATTAGACAGAAACAACCAAATATCTGGAAAGAATCACAAATCTTATCACTGTTGTTGAACTCAAATTTACAGTTGATGTAGGTACCTTATCAGCTTACATGCATGTTGTTTCATTACTATTCTGTATTTAGCTTCTGCTCTCGTAATGGCATAACTGGGTTTAACTATGTCATCTTTACTCTGAAGAAGTGATGCTCAAAGTATATTCCCCAGATCAGTAGCATCGGTGTCACCTGGCAATATGTTAGAAATGCAAAATCCCAAGCACCACCTCGGCCTTCCCGGATCAGAAACTGGGCAGGAGTATCCCAGCAGCCTGTGTTTCAGCGAGCACTTCGGGTGATTGGCGGAAGCTATGGTTTGAAAATGACTGCTCTAGCATCCCCCTTCTCAAAGGCCTTTTAAGTTCATGGACAAAAATATTACATTGACAAGCCCAGTGGGTCTGAACAATGCCTTTGTTTTCTAAATGAAAGTCGTTTGTGTTGCTGAAACTGGTTTGGCTCAGTGGATAGAGCATTGGCCTGCAGACTGAAAGGTCCCAGGTTCGATTCCGGTCAAGGGCATGTACCTTGGTTGCAGGCACATCCCCAATAGGGGGTATGCAAGAGGTAGCTGATCGATGATTTCTCTCATCGATGTTTCTAACTCTCTATCCCTCTATCTTCCTCTATGTAAAAAATCAATAAAAAAAAAAAAAAAAATATATATATATATATATATATATATATATATATATATATATATATATATATATTTTAAAAGTCCTTATGTTATGTTAGCATCGCAACTTTTCTTATCCCTTCCAAAATCATGGACCTGCATAATAATCACAATTAGATTATCTGCATCAGCAAGTTAGCTTTCACAGACCTAAATTTTCATATTTGAAACAGAATTAAATGAAACATTAAGATACTCCAGATGTTAGAAACAGGAAGCCAATCCCGTATTCATGTGTTCATTCATTCGTTCAACAAACATGTGTTTAAATGAGTGTTCACCATTTGAGCAAGTACTGCATGCCAGTACCCCTGTGCCAAGAGCCTTACAGGCTTACTCCCTCAGTGATTCATTCCCACAGTAACCCCAGAGAGTAGGTGCTATTGTCAATCCCATTTTATGAATGACTAAACTTTATATCTGGGAGATTAAGTAACATTCTTAAGGGTGTGGTTAGTAAATTGTAGAGTCCAGACTCCAGCCAAGATCTCTCTCACACCAAAGACCAGGTTCTTGACCACCATCTGGATTTCCCTGCACATGTTCACATAGTCATGCGTGGAGACAGATCTGGAACAGACCCTCCCTACCCAAGTAGTATGCCATGAAGTCTGCCACTAGGCATTTGCCAACATCAGAGGATGCCCCCTTTTCACATGAATTGGCTCTGTAATTATCACTTGGCTGAAATTAATACAATACATCTGAAAATTCTGAATTGGAAAGAACTTTAATCATCTTACTTGGATGAACCCAATAAATGGGGGTCTGGGTTTTACTTCTTCACTTCAGAATAATTTCACTTTGATTGGTATTGTGTACTGAGATTCCAGGAAAGATCCTTTTTGCAGAAAGTACTGGCTGCTTAAAAATCAACTGGGAACTCATAAGCCAAGCTTCTCATGGTATGTACTAGGATACTGAGGCTCTAGGAGACTCGTAATCGCAAGCTCAGTTCTCCTAGGTCACATGGTCCATGTGCTGTGTTCAAGACCTCAGCGAGCAGAAACTACCAAATTGGAAAAATTACTGGGAGCCAAGAAAGGGCCCTACCTACAACCTTCTGGTTTACATGAAAAGGAGAGTGAAGGAAGCCCAGTGACTGACTATATTGATCTGCTTAATCCACATCAGAAATGGATACCTAAAGAGTGTGGCCTCCACTTAGACTCTTGATGCATGGCGAAATGCCGGATAAAGCATTCCCAGATTCTGCCTGATTTATGCATGTTGTCAACATGATGTAAGGTAAGAGCAAAATATATGTTTTATTTTTCTTATTTGCAATCCCATTAATACATTAGACACCTTTCCCATTAATAATATTTGGATGTCAGCATATTGACATTTTGGCAAATCTGTAGTACTGTGATTCATGACCACTATAATTTCATCTTCAATCTCATCAGTTATAGTAAATTTTCGGTCAATTAGTTGTCTTAGTTTTAGAACCAGTGGAAAATCAAATTTGGTTACAATAATAGTCATAGGCCATATTGCTCTGTGAATCTGCATAATATGTATTAAGTTTTATCCCTCCCATCCTGCAATTTATGCTCTTATGTAAAATCATAGCATTCAGAGATGTATCCCAGAGATAGGATAATATGGGTAATCCATAATGTCTAGATTTAGGCAGTTAGCATTCAAACTTTTCATATGCGTGATGGATAATTCAATTTAACTTTGCAAGGGAAAATAATTCAAAGTAGAGATGGCAGCTTTTAGCAGAGATAACAAATTACATGTTTTCCCCAAGAGTAGGTGTCCCGAGGAGGAGGGGAAAGAGAACACATGCCTGCCTGGGCTAGGCTGTCCTTTCACCATTGTTAGTGTCATTACAAACCACAGCAGCAGGCCCACCCCGTCAGCATTGGGCAGGCCTTCTGTAAGTTGCATTTACTGGATTTTGTTTATTGGAATCAAAGATGGGCTAAAGCAATTTAACAGGTCACATCAATGCTGTGGGATGGTACTTTGAGACAATGTAGAGAACTATCTGTGTGATGTGCAGAATTTTCATCTTTCGTGAATGCCAGTTAGAACCCTCAACCAAAACATGACTAATGTAAAGTTCATTACTCCATAATCAATGTATGATGGTAAATTATTTTACAGGGCCCTTGCTAAACTGTCTTTATGCTCAGCAGAAAGAAAAATCTTAATTTTTAGCAATACAAAAGGATAACTGTATACCATGTACTTACTTTCTACAATGCCATAAAAATATAATAAGTGCTGCTTACCAGGTAATAACCTGTCATTCTTTCTCAACTCCTATTCAATGGCCTTGAAAAGTTATGTAATGCTATAGCATGTGGGGAAGTGTGCATTAGGAAACAAGGAGAGGCTGAGAAGCTGGTAACAGGGCTGAATCATTAAAGCAACCTGGAAATGTTCACTGAGAATGCACACACTCTGAAGGACAGCTCAGGACATCTGCAGGGAACAGGGGTGGAGCTCTACCTTCTTATGCAATTGAACTGCATCAAGCTGTTTCACTGAAAACAAGAATAATTCCACAACCACAGAAGGTCTTTCTGTAGCCTCTAGTAAGAAAATAGATTTTTTAATTCTGTCAAGCTTTTCCTTTTTCTTCTTTGTCTAAACAGACTATCTTTTTTTATTAATCCTTACCCGAAGGTATGTTTGTTGTGTTGTTGTTGATTTTTATAAAGAGGAGAAGGAGAGAGAGAAAGAGAGAATCTGTGATATGAGAGAGAAACATCAATCAGTTGCCTCCCAAAACCCAGGTATGTTGTGCCCTGACTGATTATTAAACCCACAATCTATTGGTGTACAGGACAATGCTCCAATCACCTGAGCCACCTGGACAGGGCTAAACAGGCCATCTTGAAGTTAATTTATCTATTTTTCAAATTAAATTTACCTGGGTGACATAGGTTTCAAGTGCACATTTCTATGATAAGGCATCTATACATTACTTTGTGTTTTTCTGGACTACTTACGACATCCACCTCTTGGTCTTTGCAGTCACTACTTCCTGCCTCCGGAAACCTCAAAGGCAGCACTGCCAGTTACTCAGACATGCTCCCCCTCATAGTTAAGACCTGAGTTCTAGCTTCTAGCTAATTCCAACACCAGTATTGATGTGTATGTCATTTTGCAAAATATTAAACCAGATTCTCTGAAATTTTGTTAAAGAATAATTTGACATTATTCAAGACCTTCTCTCACCTTCTCTCAGAATGTGTTAATATACAAGAGCAACCTGTTTTTTCTCTCTGGTATGTGCTTGGTCTATTCCTCACCATGTATCCCTTGATTCATTTAATCAAGAAATGTTCTTAAGTATGTACTATGGCCCAAACTTTGTGTTGATGCCTGGTGTTACAAAAGGGGAATTGATCCCTACATTCAAACAAGCCCAGCTCATAATTTAAAGGCCATAATGTGATAATCATAGGTAATATGGAAGCTGGAGAAAGAAGCAGCATTGAAGTGGGTGAATGTATGTTTGTACTGAGAGAAAGGGACATTGTTCAAGAGAGATTTCAAAGCTTCCTAAAGAACATGTGTCTTAAGGACAACCGATACCTTACCAAGTGGGCACACTGGAGACGATACAGAGGCAGGAGGAAGCAGCAGACAGCGGAGCATATTGGAAAACAGAAAAGGCCCTAAATGGTCAGAGCAGGTGAATAGGATGGCAAGTAACTAGAGTTGCCAAGAGTAATGGGAGAGAAAAGGATCATGGGCAACATGGAGAATGTTGTCCAATTTTAAGTTTGGTTAAGTGTGAACACAGAAGTGTGTTTTCTTTGTTGTTTAAAAAAGAGAAAAATAGAAAAAAAGAAAATGCCATTTGAAATGTTCCCCTCCAAAGAGGTATTGGTAGTGTGATCTAAGACCCAGGAAACTCTCTAATTGATTAGCCAAATGGGATGAACATTTAGCTTCAGAGATTCTTACTCATATACAAAAGTACACAGGTGAAACGACAATCAGATCTATAGTTAAGAAGGAATTCCCACCTCCCTCCACCCCCAATCACCCTGGAAAGAATCTCAAGGGTTTGTGGGGGTTTGTTTGGCTGTTGCTACTCTCCTTCAATTTATCAGAACCTTTTGTAGCTAATGTCCATGTTTCCATGTAAGGTCAAAGAGGTCAAATGTGAAACATGACACAATTCTATGCTTTTCCCTCAATTAACTTAAATTATTTCTTTTGCAGAGAAACAGACAACCTAGTAGCTGGGCTAACAGCACTAATTTGCCACCTTGTGAGAGAATAATTGTGAAATTTTGGGGTTTGTATCCACAAACAAAATAATGGAAGAGGAAAGATGCGGTCTCAGATTCTGCATGATGCTCCTTTGTTACTTAACAGTTTGGTGCATGTTGGTGCTTTTGGTTTGTGATTGAATTCAGAATCGTTTGTATTATCTCATGTGTCCTATAACTGTCCCCTTTTGTTTCTTTGTTCAGTCTGAGCTCTGAATGTATCATTAGTTTTTAGTGTTACTACCATTATCCATTATACATTACTTCCTAGGGTAAAAAGCACAATTATTAACTTCTTCTTAGCCACAGGCACTAAAGTTTATAGGGAAAATACGTTTCTTCTCTGTTCTCTATATTTATCTATTTTTAAATCTTTTTACATGGTGTCACATGGAAATTGAATATTAATTTTGTTCTATATCGGTGTGCTTTGAATGCATAATTATTTGTCCCTTTTTTTAAACTACTCTCACTAGCACTTGAACACCTTGTTTGTACTTAATATCAATACATGAATGAATGAATGAGTGAATGAATGAATAAAAAAAAATCACGTTTGTAACTTACACTCTTGAGGTCCTTAATTTACTCTAAAAAATGCTCTTTCTAAGAATTTTTGCAATGGCTTCCCATCTTGTCCCAAAATTATGTCTTTGGGTTTCTCTTTTACTCATATTTTAGGATTCTGATGCATTATTTTTCAACCATCTCAATGGTGATGCACATTTCTGCTCTTCACCCTCCTAATCAAAGCTTCATGATTATATTTGTTGAACACCTCCACTTACAACTTTCTTTCAATTCAAATTTAACCTGATTTTCCCCTCAACTTAATTGACTACTTTTCCCTCAGCCTAATTGACATAAGAAATTTTGAACTGACTTGTTTTTATAACCAAATCAAGTCAGTTAAAAATGTTTTATGTCATATAATCTCCAAGAGGAAACCCTGATATCTCATTGTGTATTAACTGCTATAAAATATAACATTCTTTCTGTACAATTTGTTCAAGAAAGTTTTCCAAATTAGTTTTTATTTCTTATCACTATAATGCACTTCCCCCCTCTTAAAAATTTCTCAACTTCTGTTTTGGATAAAGGTTTTTATAATCTAACAAATTATATATTTCAGTTTTCTTTACAGTTTTTATTCCAGCAAATCTCTAATAACATTACTTCCATCAGATTTACTCAGACAACTCTAAAAAATATAGTGTTTTTTAATCAATGAGCTCATTGATTAAAAAACACTATTATTCTTTCCTTTTATAAATACTATGAGTTTTACAAAAAAGTTGCTAAGTATTAAAAAAAAAAAATACCATTTTTATCACTATCCGAGGATCTCAACTGCTCTGCAGGATCTGCTGCTTTCCCAATGAACTGAATCTCTGCTGAGTTTTAAGACCCAGCACCACCTGATGTCACCAAAACTATCAAACTTCATTTATGTTTCAGCATCTCAGTTCCCCCTGGTTATTTTCACCAACTGTATTGTTTATGCCCATACATGCTATCAGAAACATCTTCCTTAGATTTAATTTGTTGACCCCAAATGGCAGTATTTACTCTCTTCTTGCCATTGAAATATGATTTGTTTCTAAGTGCTGTTTAAAATAAGATGACAAAAAAAAAAAAAAAAAACTTACCTGAATATCAGTCAATTTGTCCAATATCCGTGTTGCAAGCTTAGTCCCATTCTCTACAGATGGAATGTGTAGGTTCTATAAAGAAAACCAGACGTGAGATAATGAGGATATTCATGTATACTGCACCACAAGTAAGACACTCAGTGATGACACTATATGAAGGCACCTCCTGGAAAGAAGGAATGGCTCTATTATAATCTGACTAGAAGCCCGGCTCATGAAATTTGTGCATAGGGTTGGAGGGGTCACAATCTGGGACTACTGGCTCCTAATCTGCCTTCCTGATTGCCCCTAACTGCCCCCACAGCTTGCCTGGTCACACTCAGCTGCCACCCCTGACAGCCTAGTTGTCCACCACTCCCCCACTCCCGCTGGCCTGGTCACCTTTCACTAACCCTCCTGACAGCCTGGTCGCCTCACACAGCCTGCTGCTCAGTTATTTGGTCACTCCTCACTAACCCCCCTGCTGGCCTGGTCATCCCACACAGCCTGTTGGGTTGTAATGGTTGCTTAGGTTTTTATATAGATAGATTATTTTAGCTCCAAAGCCTATTTTCTATTCTAAATTTGAATAAAAAGTAACTAGCCAATGATAGGTTGTCCAATGCCTACCAACTGATTTTAGGGCACAACTTGTTTATATGCCAGTCTTCTGGATAACTTGAGAAACTAATGAGAAGCTATGGGTGGCTAACAGTGGCTAAACTTAAGAGAACCCTACCTCTTCCAGCATTCCTCAAATCAACAAAGATAAATGGTTGGCTTCCATATTTAACCCTCTCAATAAGAAATAAGAACTCAAAGATATTTTGCATTATAGTAAATCATTTGGGGACATAAATTAAAGCAAGTCTATACCTTCTTAACCTATATCTGTTACAAACCAAACTTCCAGAGGCTACAACTTCCATAATCTTGGATCGCATGGTTAAATTCAGGGCTGAAAATTTAATGACTCTAATTTATATTTCAGTCATGTCCATTCATGCCTCACTGGCTTGCAGGCATGATAGTCTGATTTTAGTATATAGTCCATGTTCTCACCTTTCTTATTATGCCCTTTAGGATAATAGGATAATTAGATGTACCTTTTGGCTCCAAATGCCCTCTAACACAAGACCATTAAAAACATGTTAAATTTTATAAACTTCTTATTTTTATAGGTGAAATAATAATTGGACTTAAAGATATCTGATCTAATGACAACCACAGTTTGTTAAAAAAGCAACCAATGTCTAGATACCACCATACTAAAATATGAAACAGTAGCTTTATAATCAGTATGATAATAAATGATAAAGAATGATAATAGTGTCATTCTTCTCTCTTGAAAGTCTGTAGATGGAATTAGGTTAGGAGCCATTCCCTAAAAGCAAGTTTAAAATCCTCAAGCAATGAAGCAACCACCATTAAAATCAGCAGAGAAAAAAAAAATCTGCCAGCTAAGAAAAAAATATGGTGTTGAATATTAAATTTCTAGAATTTATATTTAATATAAGTGATAAAGGGAAAAGAAGAAAAACTAACCAAAAAGTAGAATTACAGCACATATAAAATCAGACTGGTTTACTGAAGGGAGAAAATTTCTTCCAACTAAATACTTGAATTTTTTTCTGGAATATTTTTATATATGTACTGGGTTTACCAAATAAAAAAAATGTTAAATTGTCTAAATAACAACATCATTAATATTAAGAGTAATAAGTGATCATTCAAATGAAATTCCCATAACTATTTGCCATTCCTACTTCAGGAGATGGAACTACTTTTGGCAACCAGAAATTGAAATCTAATTACCTATAGAACCTTCTGTATAAAGCCAGTAGAAAGTAATGAGTGGAAGTCTTGTGACACATCTCAAAACCCTAAATTGACAAAAGGCAGATATCCTTGTCCAAGACAAAACTGACCTCCCATCTTGTTGGAGCTTACATAAACCCACTGAGAAGAGTGTTGTATCATAAATCAGCAGATGAGATACAAAATGTCTTAATGAGCCAATTAATTAGGAGTCATTTATTGCATGTGGCCCAGAGGAAGGTGTCTCTTCCAAATCTGAGTAATACATACAGAAAGTTTCTTGCAGTTATACTTTTCAAGCCTCTTTGTTTGCAGATATTACAAAGAACTCTGTGTGTGTGTTATTGTTAGACAGTTGTAACCTTGAATACATAATGAGTTAGTATTTGGCATAAGAATATGGGAATTATTATCAGTATCCTATCTAATAAAAGAATAATATGCAAATTGACCATACCTCCACTAAACCCACAAGCAACACCCACCAGCCAATCAGGAACAAGTAGGAGGCGTGGGATTCCCTGGCAATGGAGGAAGTCAAGCTTTCTGCACACCCTGGTAGCCCTGGACTCCACTCAAGGCTACAAAGTTTCAATTATAGAAGATAAATAAATCCCAACAAAAATGGTGGCAGCCACAGAGTGAGCAGGAGGCTTGGGTTTCCCCAGCAATGGAGGAAGCCAAGCTTCCACAGCCCTGGTTTGCCTTGGCCTCCGCTCAAGGCTACAACATTTCAATTATAGGATATAAATAAATCCCAACAAAAAAATGGCTATGGCCACAGAATGAGCAGGAGGCTTGGTTCTGCTCAAGGCTACAAAGTTTCAATTAAAGAAGATAAATAAATCCCAGATATCAGGGCCTCTGCTTGGGCTGCCGGAGAAGTGGGGGGGGGGGGCAAACCACTACAGGCCCCTCACCCAGGTCACCCCACACCGCAAGCGAACCCCCACCCTGATCCAGGACATCCTTCAGGGCAAACTAGCTGGTCGCCACCCATGCACCAGGCCTCTATCCTGTGCAATAAAATAGTAATATGCAAATTGATCATCACCCCAACACACAAGATGGCTGCCCCCATGTGGTCAAAGATGGCTGTCCCCATGCGGACACAAGATGGCCACTACAAGCTGACCAGCAGGGGAGGGCAGTTGGAAGGGATGAGGCCTACAAAGGAGGGCATTTGGGGGCAATTAAGCTGCAGGGGAGGTCAGTTAGGGGTGACCAGGTCAGCAGAGGAGGGAAGTCAGTGGCGACTGGGCCTGCAGGGAAGGGTAGTTGGGGCGATCCAGGACTGCAGGGGAGAACAATTGGGGGAGGGAGGGGGAATAAGACCTGCAGGGGAGGGCAGTTAGGGACAAACAGTCTGGCAGGGGAGCAGTTAGGCATCAATCAGGCTGGCAGGGGAATGGTTAAGGATTGATCAGGCTGGAAGGCAGAAGGGTTAGGGGCAATTAGGATGGCAGGCAGGTGTGCATTTGGGAGCCAGCATTCTTAGATTGTCCTACTGGGATCAGGCCTATACATGCAGTAAGACATCCCTCAAGGGGTCCCAGATTGGAGAGGGTGCAGGCTGGGTTGAGGGACACACCCCAGTGCATGAATTTCGTGCACTGGGCCTCTAGTTAGTCTATATTAGTCTATTCCATTGGATGGCTAGCTTGCAAGGACAGTTAAGTTTATATTTTTCTATTATTTTAATTCAAAACAAAGTAATTTTATAGAATAAGAGGCTGTCTTAAAGTGACAGAGTTTAAAATGACAGGGTCTAGGGACTATCTAACAATAGAGAGTTTCAAACTTTTTATACAGTTTTTTATACAAGATAGAGGTTACTATGCTTCAAGGGTAAGTAATTTGCTAATAATACAGGTTCATGAGGACAATCCACCCCAGTTAATGAAATGCCAACCTACCAAAAAAAAAAAAAAAAAAAAAAAAAAAAAAAAAAATCCTTTGCATTCTGGGACCAACTAGTAATTTGGTCAGACGTTAAAAAAATAAATTATACGCAAATGCTTACAAATAGCAGGCTGTCTTACCTCGCCCTTGAACAGGATATCAGAAACTGGGCAAACAATACAGGCGGTGCCAGAACCAAACATCTCCTTCACTCGGTTCTGCTTCAAGGCTGTTGTCAAGTCACCCATGGTGAGGTACCTCTCCGACACCTTAAATTCACCCTGTTTACAATATAACAATATATATTTTTTAAAAAAAAAAAAGTGATACATATTTTTAAGGAAAAGGCATGAGGGGAAAATGCCCTGTAATACTACCTTTCTATTTTACATTCTTAGAGGGGAAAGCTGTAGAAAGCAACACCATCTTACTGGTAAAACACAGTGAGGTGTTAAGCCTCCTACTCCAAGGTCACAGGGTCTTTAAATGAGAGGATCAGAATATAAAATATAAGATTATGAGCATAAAACACATGGCATATTTTTAAGACATGTGTGCTTTTTTTTTTTTTTTTTTTTGCCCATTTGTTGTTATGGCTAAAGTCAAACAAGTTGACGTACACTGGTGCTACTTAATGTGTACTCTAAGCTGACAGTGTTTGAAGTGCTATTTACCACAAAAGAGAATATATTATCATAACATTAATAATTACAGCTATCATTTATGGAGTATCCATTGCATGCCAACTTCTCTGATTTTAAGGTGGGTAACATTATCCCTATTTTATAGATGAAGAAATGAAGGTTCGAGGAAGTTGAGAGTGATTCTCTCTAAGGCCACACAGATAGTAAACGGCAGAAAGTGGACCTGAATTCAGGTTTAATCCAACTTCCTCCAAATTTGGTCCTTTTTCTATTGTGTCTTTTATGGAATAAAACCATAGACTGAGTTTAAACATCTGGAAGATTTCATTACTTTAAAAAAGTGAAAGTATATTTGGACTTTATTTGAGAAATTGCATTGTATATTTTTTCTTCCTAAATTAAACCCACTGGTTCAGTTGACTTTACTGCAGTAATCCTCTCCCTTACTCTTAGAATCATATTAGATTTTCATCACAGAATTATCGATATAACTTCTGGCATTTATGTCGCATCAACTTCTGCTGAACTATTGGAACATTTTATTTGCTCCAGGATAGAAAATATAAATAAAAATATTCTGATTTTTTAAAGCTATTTAGTACACATTCTTTCATCGGTTTAATTCTCATTCTTTTATGTTAGTGGTTAAAGCTCAAAGTTTGTCAACAGGCTATCTGAATTAAGGACAAACAAAAAATGGATAGATTTTTAAAATTAAATGGGAGCATTTTTTAAGACCTGCAAATCTACAATAAATAAAAATGGAAATCACAGCTCTTGGCAAGATTCAAAACATTAGAAGGATGCATCATGTTGTAAGCATATATTTGGAAGGGTAGGAAAATATGCCTGTGATAGAAATATGGCTTTTTGCAAGTTTCAATTTATCTCAGTCTGTAATTGCAATTATGTTGTTCAAAGGTAAATAAATTCTAGAAAATCAGCCAAGTTAACTGAAAACAAGCTGAGCTCTGTGTCCTGGAAAAGGAAGAAAAAAAAAATCTTGTAAATAAACAGAATTGTTTTTACTCTGCTCACCCTTACTTATCTTTGGACAATTTTCCTTGTCTGGCATGTAATGGTAACCCCCCACATGGCTCTTGGCATTTATGTCTCACTGTTTTAGAATAGCTTTTAAAATAAATTACAGCTAAGGAATCAAGAAAAAACTTCCTCCATAATAACCTATTTTCATGCTAGCAAATCATTAGTGTGGGAAAGCTTTTCCACTTGCAACTTGTCATCAACCCTTCTGTACTTGGTTGAATTTTTTTCTCTAATAAAACAAAAATTACTGAGCTTTGAAAATACATCTTTGCAACTGCAAACATATTTAGGACAGGGCAAGCTGTTTGAAATTATACAAACAGTTTGTAAATGCCATGCCCGATGTGCCAGCCAGCATGTGGCAGCTGTGCTATAAATAATTCTACAAAACCCCAAAGCAGACAAGGCCCATTTCCTCTATTTCCAAAGCCTTTTTCCAGAGGAAATGTACTAGGACTCTCCTAGATAATGTGTGTTTCTAAATGTTTGCCTTATTAGTACTGTTTGACCACAGAATGCTCACAGCATTTTCATGTCCCTTGGACATTAGTTTAACACATGGGTCAAAAGTTCCATCCAAAAACCTTTGCCAGATAACCAACTCATTCAACATTCATCTTAAGTATGTTAGAAAGTCATTTCCAATACTGAATAGTTTAGCATGCTTGCCTGTGTCACATGAATCAGAAAGTCTACTGAAAATAATTTTACACTTGCTTGAGTGTTTTGACTTTAAAATAAGCATGTATGGGAATTTGGAAGGACAGGGAGCATGAAGGAAGGGGGCAGGGGGAGAGAGAAGGCAGCCAAACTAATAATGTTATGTTAGTAAACACTTATGCCAATAGAATTCTTAATTTCTTGGTAAGCATGGCTATGCTGGAATAAACAGAGGAAGGGGAGAACAACGAGTCATTGCCATGTGGAAGCAAAGGACTTAGACATGAAAAGTTAAGGACTGGCTAAATGGAAGCACACAAATTATAAATCAGGTGAGTTGGTGGGAGACACCTGATATAGAGCTTGAGACTAGTACTAGAATACTTCTTCACCAGGACAACTTGACAAACTGGTTTCTGTCTGCCCTCCCTATAAACAAAGCTTATTTGATACTCTTGTCAAGACAGGTCTTTTAAAAGAGTTCTTTTCACTCAAGTTAAGATCAAAGATTAGATAACATTGGTTGCAACTTCAGGATATTATTTCAACACAAAGCTGAACTTATTTTGATTACTTTTTGTTTCGTGCTGAGAAAAGTTGCTCATGTCAAAAACCCACCCACTTGCGTGCCAGGTCCAGAATGCTCTGCCTTGTCACTCCTGGAAGAATGATGCCATCTAGTGGAGGAGTTGCCAGTTCTTCTTCTGTCAATTAGAAATTGGAATATTTTCAAACTTTAACTATATTAGCAATGCCTTATATATCAATAGCCATTAAAAATAAACAAAAAACCCTCCTGTGTCTTTCAATTTGGCTAGTAATAAACATGAAGATGTTATTGTTGTGCGTTGTCAAATTTCTCAATTCACACTTAAGGTAGATTTCGATTCAAAGAAAGAGGAGGAGGAGGGAAAAGAAAGCAAAAAGGAAGGAAGGAAGGAAGGAAGGAAGGAAGGAAGGAAGGAAGGAAGGAAGGAAGGAAGGAAGGAAGGAAGGAAGGAAGGAAAGGAGGGAGGGAAGGAAGGGAGGGAGGGAGGGAGGAAAGGAAAGGATACTACTCATCTATTCATCTTCAACGTACCCTTAACCAGTAAAAAATGGGATGGTTTTCCACTAACAAACAGCAAGAGTTATAAACTAGTAGTTATAAACTACTCTTAGGAGGAACATTGTGAAGTCAAAATTTGGTAGGTTAAAGCTGGTTAGTAATTAGAATAATGTAGATAGGATCATACGTGGGGACACTGGTCCTTAGCAAACCTTTTAAGAATACTGTGGCGGAGCGTCACCCCCAAGAAGAGTCAGGCCAGCCACTGCTCCCACACTACCCCTTGATAAATCTCTCTAGAGTGATTTTCAAACTGTAAAGTGAGTATCCACATCATATATAGAATTGTTGACCTCGTTTCAAATGTAATAGGCTCAGGATGGGCTCAAGCACGTATTGGCTAACAAAAAAGAAAGAAGAAGAAAAAAAAAGAAATCTAAAACACAAAACAAAATTCTACAGGTGACTCATAGAGAGCCACAGCTGAGACCCTGGTCTACCACAGAATGATCCCAGGCACTCCAAACCACCGTTCGGTCTGGCATGACTCTCTGTCTGCCAGAGCCAGGGTGGCCCATGACCCACAAACACCCCTTACATAAGGAAATCTCTGGTACTCAACATCCCCTTCTCCTCTCTACCTCTGGCACCCAAGAATCTGCATCTTGTGAGAAATTCAATCCCTAAATCATTGCTTTATCAAGACGATGAAGCTTGTAACAGACCATATGTTGCCCAGCATGTGTTTTCAGAGGAATTCACAAGGTCTGCTTGAAAGAATCACTAGGTAACAAAGACTGTGCAGAAATCACACTGGTGACTCTGAGCTCCCCAAATCATGTTATGCAGCTAAAAGGGACTTTGGAAATCACCTAGTGCAGTGGTCGGCAAACTCATTAGTTAACAGAGACAAATATCAACAGGACGACGATTGAAATTTCTTTTGAGAGCCAAATTTTTTACACTTAAACTTCTTCTAATGCCCCTTCTTCAAAATAGACTCGCCCAGGCCATGGTGGTTTGTGGAAGGGCCACACTCAAGGGGCCAAAGAGCCGCATGTGGCTGGTGAGCCACAGTTTGCCGACCAGGGACCTAGGGCAATCCTCACTTCACAGAAGAAACAGAGGTCCTACACACATAAGTGACTTGCAAGGTTGGTGACAGTGGAGGACAGTCAGGACCAGACCTCAGGGTACCTACACTGGAGTCTTTCCCTTCTTTTTTAAAAAATATATTTTATTGATTTTACACAGAGAGGAATTGAGAGGGACAGAGAGTTAGAAACGTCTGAGAAACATTGACCAGCTGCCTCTTGCACACCCCCCACAGGGGATGTGCCTGCAACCAAGGTACATACCCTTGACCGGAATCGAACCCGGGACCTTTCAGTCCGCAGGCTGACGCTCTATCCACTGAGCCAAACCGGTCCCGGCTGGAGTCTTTCCCTTTTTGATAGAATACTGGGGTCTGGGCTCACCTGTACCCTGTGGGTACATCACACATCCCCAACACACAAGCTGTCTGGAAAACCAAAACTCTACATTCATTCCTGTGTCCCCAAAACTCAGCTTTCTGCCTGGCTCAGGATGGATGTACTAAGTGTTTTTTTGAATAAAAAATAAATGAATAATCTCTTTGGTAGGATATAGCAGTATGATTCCTCCCCCCCCCCCCCCAAATATGTCTAAAAATCATCTCATAGATGCTTTCGGGAAAAAGGAAAACTTGGTTTTGGCAACGTCGTTGGGGCTACTTTGAAATGTTGCTCTCAAAATAAACCTGTGTTTTGCAATAGCTAGCTAGCTAGACATAAATGTAGTATGGATCTACATGTGTGTGTATATATATGCACACACTCCACACATAGAGACAGACATACTTCCACTGCCCCCAAACTGGACCCTTTCCTGGAGCCTGCTGAGCTCTAAGATTCCATCAAGTTAAATGAAAACGGCGGCCCCGCCTATGCAAACGCAGTTTTGTGAAATATATTTAACACCCAAACTGTAACCACTAGCCTGAGGTCAAGGAACAGAACATCTGTTTCTCTGGTTGCCAGACAGAGATGATGACATGACAACATTTGGGTGAGAAATATTCATTTTCCTCTGCAACCACAAACATGCTTATGAGAGCCAGAACCAGCTCCAGATGGCCCAACATGAGGAAAACAGAGCCTACAAATGCAGCTTGTTTTTGACAGAGGAATCATTTTTAGAAGCTGAAGGGTTTAGAAGCAACAACAGCAGGATTCATCTGTGACATCCCAAAGTCAAGCACTAATGGGAACCAGGAATGTGGGTTTGCGTAAGAGCCCTAACCATCACCAGCACAATTATTCATTTATTCAACAAATATACAGACGGGCCTGGCCTAACAATGCTTTGACATGATTTTTTTTTTCTTTTTTAACTTTTAAGATGGTGTGAAAGTGATACTTAGTCAGGAAAAATCAAACTTTGAATTTTGAGCTTCTCCCCGGTTGCAGATGTTCAGTCCAATGCTCTCACGGATGCTGGGCTGTGCAGTGAATCGCAGCTCCTGGTCAGCCTCGTGATCTCGAGGGTAAACATCTGGTAGATACTCTTGTACTGTATTGCCAGTGTTTGGGGATATTATGTTCAAAGCACAATTAAGGTAGGCTAGGCTAAGCCATGATGGTTGGTAGGTTAGCTGTATTACATACATTTTCGATTTATGACATTTTCAATTGAATGATGGGTTTATCGGGCTGCAACTCCATCATAACAAGCATCTGTGTACTGAGTGCCCACCCTATGCAGTTGGCTTATCTCTATACCCAGGATAAAGCAGTGAACAGAACTGATGTAACTCCATGCTTACTTTCTAATAGGCAGAGGCAAACAGTTGTTACGTTAAATAGTGTAGACCATGAAAGGGGGGGGGGGGGGGGGAAGGGAAAGGTGATAAATGCTTTGAAGTAGAGAGAAGTTTGCAAATGTTTTTTTTAAGTGTATTTTTATTGGCCGAAACCAGTTTGGCTCAGTGGTAGAGCGTTGGTCTGCGGACTGAAAGGTCCCAGGTTCGATTCCGGTCAAGGGCATGTACATTGGTTGCGGGCACATCCCCAGTAGGGGGTGTGCAAGAGGCAGCTGGTCGATGTTTCTTTCTCATCGACGTTTCTAGCTCTCTCTCTCCCTTCCTCTCTGTAAAATATCAAAAATAAATAAATAAAAAAAATTTATATATATATATATATATTGATTTCAGAAAAAGAGGAAGAGGGAGAGAAAGAGAGAGAATCATCAATAACAAAAGAGGATCATTGATCCGCTGCCTCCTGCATACCCACTATGGGGCATTGAGCCTGCAACTCAGGCATGTGCCATGACTGGGAATTAAACAGTGACCTCCTAATTCATAGATTGATGCTCAACCACTGAGCCACACTGGATGGGCGAACTTGCAATTTTTAGTAAGGTGCTCAGGAAAGCCTTACGAGAATGGGATATGTGGGCAAAGACTGGAAGGTGGGATAGGAGCACGCCAACAGACATGGGAGGGAGGAAGGCTCCAAGCAAAGTTGGTGTAAATGCCTGATGTCCAAGAAGGCTCCCAGGGCCTGAGCAGACTGAGAAGCATCAACACTCATTGCCATGATCATTCTCCCAAACTATCTGTGAACTCAACCACGGGAACTGGGTCCAAGTCTCAGGGTGGCTCCAGTGTCCAATAGAAGATAAAACTTGTTCCAACAATCATATTAGTCTCTGCAAGTGTATGTGTTAAATTACTCAGTAGATGAGTAATTTACTCATTTTAAGGAGAATCAAGACTGTGTGATCTTACCACTAGCATTGCTGTTACTGGAATAAAAGTCCACATGAGTTACAGGACAAGTGCCACATACAGTCATCATGCAGGGCACGGTGCTGTGAACAGATGATCTACTTTAGTGACCTTTCAAAAGTGGCAGAGAAAGTGGGTGCTCATGACAGACAGCAGGTAATTACTAAAAGAACTCTGCATATAGCTGCAGTTGGGAACATTTATGAAAATCAAAATTTTGCTGATTTCCAACTTGTTATTCTTTATATTTTCTTTTTCTTTTTCTAATCCTCACTAGAATATATTTTCCCATTGATTTTTAAGAGAGAATGGAAGGGAGGGGGACAGACAGAGAGAAACATTAATGTGAGAAAAATACATTAATTGGTTGCCTCATGCACACACTCTGTCCAGGGCCAGGATGGAGCCTGCAACAAGGTACATGCCCTTGACAGAATTGAACCTGGGACCCTCAGTCCTCAGTCTGATGCTCTATCTACTGAGCCAAACTGGCTAGGGCCCTTTATATTTTCTTAAAGCCACATGGTATAAATCAAAGTTACTATAGAGTTGCCTCAATGTCTTCTAGTTTTAGTCCAAAGGTTATTCCTGGTATCTATTGCATTTTCTCATAGGACTATCCAAACATTTATTCCATTTCCTTTCTCCTTACTTTAATTTGTATTTAATTTATTATATGAACACCCTCAAACTGAAGGGGTACATTCACATTAAAACTAAAGTGATCTCAGGCAACCATAATCTGAATAATAACTCTTAAGATCTTGTATATTTTGTAAGAGTCAGAAGACAAATTCACTCATTTCTATTCTGACCTTTAAAAGCCATAGTGGAAATGGCCCATGACAATTGTTTGGATAAGGCATAATTTTTCACCAGAACTGTTTCTGGTTAAGTCATGTAGCTCTGATTTAGACTGTGCTTAACTCCTGACATCTCCTATCCTTAAATGATGATGTTGACACTTCTGACTGATGTAATTGTTTTTGTTTGGAATAATGTGGGTTTTTGGGGAGATGATGGTGGGAGTGGGCCAGTGGGAAAAATGAGTTGAATCAATCTATTATCTCCTAAGTGCAGAGTTCAACAAGTACAGCATATGTCATATGCAAAAAACCCAAATTTAGAAATCACAAATATTCCAGTAAAATTTTTGTTTTTAAATAGTGCCAAGTACAAACTGCAGGGCTGGAAGAATGAGCGTGATCTGTATCTGCCTTTTCCTGTGCCAAAGATTACCAATGGCCAATCCCTGGATAAGTGTCCTCACCACACCTACTATTCTACCTCTCACTGGAATGTAAGGCTCAATCTTTTTAGTTTCTGCCACTAATGCTCAACTCAGTATAGAGCTCTAATGTCAGCTACACGTGACCATGTTCCTCTATTTGTAGCAAATGACAAATGAGCTACTTTAAATTTTCAAGTAAAACCAATAGAGACCTTTTAAGTATTTGGAAACTTAATATTTTAAATTTCTACACTCAGTATTATGAAATGAAACCCTAAGAATGCAAACAAGCCTAAAAATTTCTTTAAAATTTTTATGACTGCCAAAACTGGTTTGGCTCAGTGGATAGAGCATCAGCCTGTGGACTGAAGGGTCCCAGGTTTGATTCCGGTCAAGGGTATGTAACTTGGTTGTGGGCACATCCCCAGTAGGAGGTGTGCAAGAGGCAGCTGATTGATGTTTCTCTCTCATTGATATTTTTAGCTCTCCATCACTCTCCCTTCCTCTTTGTAAAAATCAATAAAATATATTAAAAATAAAAATAAAAATTTTATGACTTAAAATTCTAGTAGAAATAAATGCATACATCTGCATTATTGGGCATTTAATTCAATACTACAAACATTGAACTTCAATGAACTCTAATGGTCTTTGACAACTAAGAACAACAACAACAAAAGCAAGTTGCAGGAAAGATGGAAGAGGGCATAAAAAGGATAAATGGTTATGAAAAAAAATTTTAAAAATAAAGAGAAAAAGTAGCAAAGAGAAATAATGAGCATTCAGAATATTAAAACTAGTAAAGAAGTACTGATTTTTATGGTAGACATTTTATATAATAAAGAGGTAATATGCAAATTTACCCTCACACCCTCACAAGATGGCTACCTATAGCCAGGCTGTTGGGAAGTTAGTGAAGGATGACCAAACAACTTAACAGCAGGCTGCATGGGGTGACCAGGCCGGCGGGGGGTGGGGGAGAGTTAGGGGCTACCAGGCCAGCAGACTGGGGCAGTTGGGAGCGACCAGGCCAGCAGGGGGGGCGGGGGTGTGAAGGAGGGGTAGTTGCAGGCAATTAGGACAGCAGAGGAGATAGTGAGGGGTGACTAGGTTGGCAGGGGGAGCAGTTGGGGGTGACCAGGCCAGCAGAGGAGCATTTAGGGGTGACCAGGCCAGTGGGAGTGTATTTGGGAAAGACCAGACCAGCAAAGGCAGTTGGGGGCAATTGGACTGGCAGGGTGGGGGCAGTAAGAGGTAATCAGGCTGGTGGGGCGGGGCAGTTAGGAGTGACCAGGCTGACAGGGAGGGGGCAGTTGGGGGTGACTTGGCTGACAGCAGGGGGCAGTTAGGGGTGACCAGGCCGGCAGGCAGGTGAAGGTTTAGGAGCCAGTGGTCCAGGATTGTGAGAGGGATCGATCCTGGATTGAAGAAAGTGCAGGCTGGGCTGAGGGGACAGCCCCCACCGTGCACAAATTTTGTGCACCAGGCCTCTAGTATATTAATATACTTGAATGAACCAGGATCTAAGTACAATTCCAAGATAGAGCAGTATATTCTTAAAATTACTATGTTCCAATTAAAGTGAGCTCCAGAGTAAACCTGGAAGGCTTTTGATATATTATCAAAATATGTATAAAGTGCAACAATTTTTGAAATTATAGCATGGGAGTATACTAAATTTCATATCAGTAAAATCAGTAGGCTGTGTTTATTACTGTAGCATTTTATACATACTATACTGTGTATGACTATTAAGTTGATCTGAAACCTAACTCCAAATGCAAGGGATTTCCAATAAGAAAAATGTTAGGAATGAGGTAGCAAATCTTCAAATTGTGAAGATTCAAATTCCTTAAATTGACATCTTAATAATACATACATATAGAGCCAAAAAACAAAATCTTTAGAAATTCTGTAAACTTGAACTCATGTCTGCTTGGACAGCAAAAGCACAGTATGTACTTAGACATTGGAATCATGCTGCTTATTTCTTTGTTCTAAGTTCCAAGTTCTTTTCTTTCCAATCCCACTGAAAATGATTGAAGGAGAAGAAAAAGGAAAAAGAAAAAAAAAGCAAGGAGCTGAAATCTGAGTGGATTACCTCCATCTTCATTAACCCAGTAAAGGAAAAGATTCATAGTTCCAACTTCCGTTATCTGATTGTCCTCTCCATGGAGCCACAGAACCTGCTGACACCCGTTATCCACTGCTTCACATTGGGCAAAGAGAGAGGAGCCATAATTCCTTTTAAGAAAGAGGAAACATATTGATTACAAATATTCTACACTTACCTCATCTCCCACACCAAAATACCAACCTCTTTAATTCACATGTGCATGTAATCAATGTATTATGTTCTTAATATGCACTATGTTCTTAATATGTTAAATTTCTAGTTAACAGCATAACAATAAATTAGACTCTAATTTAATGGTTGGTTTTCCGACCTGCATCTGAAAGAATATTGACTCTTAACTAAAATTTTCTAGAAAGCTATGAGAAATAAGCACTAGACTACTTGACTACAGCAATCTGGGCAATAATAAGGGTTACTTACATGGAGGTAATGTAGAGTCATTAAAAGATCTTCAAAATACAGATAATAAGATATAAATTATCGGTTATTCTAAATGATTTAATTGCACTCATTTAAGAGAAAGAGCACACACAAAGCAAAATTGTGGAATTCTAACTTGAAAAGTAGAGATATGAGAACACAGGTAAATAACCAAGTTAATAACAGATAAAAGTTATTGAATATATTTTTTTTTCACTTTCCAAGCAATTTTACATGAATCATTTTGTTTAAACCTCAAAACAGTATTGAATTAGCCTTCAGGATCATTTCCATTATTCAGATCAGAAAAACTGAGGCTTAGAGAAGTAACTTGTATCAAGCTACAGCAATTAAGTAGCAGAGCACCACGTCTGTACTCTCTTAATTGGGACCTTTCAATATATCCAAAAAATGTCTGAATTCTCCCGAAATTGTGGGGCAAGACGTTAAAATCCTGATTTTAACCAAAAAGTATTCTGAAAGCCCATTTTTCCCAATCTGCACTCTTCATCTTGGAGTATTCAAAAATCAAAGGAACATGGAACATCTTTCAAGAATGACAAGATACTTTGGGAATATTTTAAATTTATTTTTTTGTTCAACTTAAATGACATATATTTATAGAGTATGAATGAATGTTGAAAATAAAAGATGAGAGTCCTCAAAAAAATGTGCTGCTTGCTTGCCTCCCTCAGCCCCTAGTTGTAGAATTAATTTTCCTTGACGTTCAGAGGACATTAGCAAACAAGTTTGAAAAGCACAACCATATTATAACCAAGGCTAGAAATAAGTCCTAAACCCACTGTTAGACTATGAAGCCCCCAAAAGTATACAGGAATAAGCAACCGATCAAATATACAATAACTACTGCAAAGTGTCAATGTTATCTTCCACAAAACACACTCCTAGGCCTTTTAAGTGATCACTTTTACATCTGGGCAAAGTTAAAAATGTAGTGTTGTCTAAGTAAAAACATCAATTAAACGCAAGAACCTTTTAATACAATGGCTACCTGCCATTCTCATCTGCACAGCTTCCCTTCCCTCTGTATTCCCCGTGGCTCTTCGGAGGTAGCCAAGTCATTCTGCCTGGGTTAATGGTCATAGCATTTTGCCCCGTGCAATTGAATTAAATGGTGGGTGTGTAACGCAATCTGCTCATGTAAGTTTAATCTATGGAATGTGAAAGATGTATTTTCTCATTTTGAGGGTAGTGGCTGCTAGTTTGCTATGATGTCGCCAGGGGTCTATTGTGTACATGTTCACTAGACTTCATGGGGGAAGACATCTGAAATTGGAGATCCTAGGCTAACACACAGCTAGAAACTATGACAAGAGATGGTGAGTGAGGGTGGGGGTGGGGGTGAGGAGTAGGGCCCATACAAGGGCATAAGAAACTTGGCAACCACAGTTTCAGACCACAACAGATCCACTGTTACCGCCCTATGTACAATCAATCCCTTTACTACTTAAGATGACTTGCGCTGGTTTTCCGACTTGCAACAGAAAGAATATTGACTCATAACTAAAATATCCTGAAACGCTATGAGAAATAGGCATTAGGCTACATGGCTATAGCAATCTGGGCAATGATGAGGTTTAGTCAAATGGAGGTAAGGTAAGAGTCATTAAAAGACCTTCACAATATAGATAATAAAATATACATCATCGGTTAATCTAAAGACAATACAATCCTGGTATGTGAGGCTTTTATTTAATGAAAAGCCAGATAACCTTTATCTAGAATTGATGTTGTATAGGCAATAACTGAGTTAAATGATGAGTATTTTTAAATAATGAGTATTAACCTGACTTTCCGGGGCAGTCCTGTAGAAAGGGCATGGGTTTGGGTTGGGGGTTGGGGCCAGCAGGCTAAAGGAAGCTCCTGCTCTTCTACTATTTGGCTCTATGTGAACTTAGGTCAGTTCGCATTATTGCCTCACACAAATCATCTGGCAAATAAAAAGCTCTTGTTATATATTGCATAGTGTTGTGTAGGAAAAAAGTAAAATGGTAACAATAAAAGCTAAGTAACAGGTTATATAAGCCTCTTCTATGCCATTGAAATTCATTTTAAAAATAACTATTATATGCCTAGCTGGGGCTCAGTAGTTGAGCATCAACCTTTGGATCAGAAGGTCATGGTTCGATTCCTTGTCAGGGCACATGCCCAGGTTGCAGGTTTGATCCCCAGTAGGGCGCGCAGGAGGCAGCTGATCAATGATTTTCTCTCATCATTGATGTTTCTGTCTCTCTCCCTTCCTCTCTGAAATCAATAAAAATGTATTTTTAAAATAAAATTATAAAAAAATAACTATTATAATTGACTTTTCTCTAGTTCACAGACACAGCTGGTGAGATTTTTTTCCCCATATCTGACAATAGAGAAATAATTTATCTCATAAGAAAAATTCCCTTTATTCTATTAAAAAATACACAAAATTTTCACAGTTTGAAAACAAACAGACACACACTTTTGGGAGTGTGGAAGAATTAAAACTACGATTCCTTAGCAACATCAAGTTACTTGGGCAGGAAAGAGAATTAAAGCTGACTGTTTCAGGCATTGAGAGAAAAGGGGGTTTTATTTGTTTTGTTTATTTAATTGTCATATTCCCTCTGGATTTTTTCCCCTCAAAATTCTCTCAGGCGTAAGCTATAGTATTAATGCCCACAGGGTAAGTGATACCATAGCAATTTATCTGGTTCATTCCCATATGCTGCTAATATTCAGAAGAGAAACACATTTCCTTGGAGGAAAAAGAAAAATGAAAAAAAAAAAAAAAAAAAAAAAAAAAGGAAAACTGTCTACATAGAAATGTTTTAATATAATTTTAAGTGGAATAAATATCTGAGAAAAGACATATTAAGTACACCTCTCCAAGAGTAAATTTCGTTGGATAAAATCCAATTGATTGCTCCTAAGGTAGAGTCAAGATGATTAAGAAAGCACCTCATATCAACTATTACCTCTTGAGAGACTCCTGCCTGCCAGACAGGGTACTAGGTACTTCATCCTCTACTAGAGATCAAGCCTGCAACCTGGACATGTGCCCTGACTCTAAATCAAACTGTGACTTCCTGGTTCACAGATCGATGCTCAACCACTGAGCCACACCAGCCAGACCCCACTATTTCCCAATGTACCCATGTTATCTTTTCCCTAGGTAGGTTGGGAGGCTAGAAAGCAAGATATATAGAAGATAAACTACTTTAAATTATTATCTTTTTATCAAGATTATTGATTTACTGCAATGTGCACTCTAAAAGAAGTTTTAACAAAGTAATACAGATGGTGTGCAGTGCATATGAAGAAGTCTGAATGAATAAACGAGAAATCAGGAGAGTAAACAGAAGCAATTTCAGCCTGGCTGGCCTAGGACACATTCAGGAAGGAGTGGGCTCATCCAGAAGAAAAAGAAAGGGACTTCTTATTGTAACAAACTGCGCTAGGATTTCTCTATCCTTTGACAGAAGGCAGTTGCTGAGACTACAAGCAGGGATGACAGGTCATATACTTTTATAACCTTTTTTTGTTTGCGTAGAAATAAATAAAGACCACCCAAGGGTCAAAGCCAGTTTCAATGCCTCTCTCACATCCCAGCAGCACATCATTCAATTCTCTCACGATTTCCTGACTCTGCATTTTGTACAAGGGCCCGGAAGACTGCCACTGAGCCACCTTCCAGGGCTGCTACTGCCCAGATATGTGACCAGATCAGCACTTGGTTTTCATAAAGGAAGAGCCCATGATGGTTAACGCAGATATTCTTGCTCGTCCACAGGGGCATTCTCCATTCACGGCCAAGTCCACCCCTAAAATTGTCTAACACTTCTCAAATGCTCTTTCCTTTCCAGCCAGCTACATATGGCCTATGAGACTGGCCTGCTGGCGCCAAAGCAGGACTGTCCTTCAGCCAATTGGCAGCAGGTGGGATGGCTACAATCTGTAGCAATGAAGACAGCACTTCAATGAAGCAGGCACCTTCCCCAGACAGAACCCCTTGGAGCCATCCGAGGGCCTTGGCCCTAGTACCAGGCACTCTTTAATGCCAGCCAACAGCCTGCAGCCAGAGGGCCAGCAACCAAAGGCAGTTCATTCAAATCACTGATTTGATTCCTCTTTTGATTACTTATTTCAATTCATGGATATGCATAATATCCAATGTTTCTCCTAATAGGGGGTGACAGGTTATTGCTTTATACAATGAGTTCAGTGAAGACATGAAAACTAAACCCAAAACAAAAATGAGCATTATGACTGGAATATTCATATATGTACAGGTATAGAGGTGAAATGGCAACTCAATGATGGTGAGGAACTCTTTCCTTTAGACAGAAACACAGATTTACTTACCCTCCCATCTTGCAGTCCCCAGTCCCACCTTTCCAGGCTCTTACAAACTTCGGATTGGCCCACAGGGACACGGGACTTAAGGTTCCCTTCGAAAAGTAAGATCCCACTGGGCTCAAGATCACAAAGATCATGGCTTTGGTAGGCTTCTTGACTCCAAGAGAAGGCTGCAATAAATTAAACATACACACAACTGTTCATTTAAAATGTACACACCAGCCTTAAAGTCTGGAATAAAGCTGTAACTGTCTCCCAGAGGGGCCAGCAAAGGACAGGAACTGTTACTTCTAACAGTGAGTGACACAAAGCCCGACGGTCCTCTAAGAAGAAAACACAGAGAATGGACTACGTACGCTTCATTATGCTTTGCTTTCTGAGTTGTTTTGCTTTTTAGAGGAAAAGCAAGTATGTCCCTTTTTGGTTAGAAGGGTTTTAAGTGAAGTGTCTTTTTAACAGCCAACTATATAACACCCTTCAATGTTGCACTGATTGGAAATGGAGAAAGGGAAGAACTCAGACATAATTTTAGTCTTTGGGGGTGAGAAATATAATATTTGTTTCTTTTTTTTCCTTTTATTTGTTAATCCTCACCAGAGGATATTTTTCTTTTTCTTTTCTTTTTTTAAGAGAGAGTAGAGGAAGAGGGAGAGACGGAGAGAGAAATATTGATCAGAGCTGGGGATTGAGCCTGCCACCGAGGTACATGCCCTTGACTGGAATCGAGCTTGGGACCCTTCAGTCCAAGGCCGATGCTCTATCCAATGAGCCAAACCAGCTAGGGCTAATATTTGGTTCTGTAACCTCCCCTTCTGTTTTCCTAGACATACCAGGGGATCCAGCAGCAGGGAGCTATAGGAAACTGTGCCTTCCCAAGCCTCGCTGTGACAGCAAGGGTATAGCGACGCCAGAGGCAAACACCACACGAGATAAATGTAACTCTCCAAAAGGCAGAGGATGACAAAGACAGGAGATGGCCTTTGCCACCAACATTCACCATAAGCCAACAGTGCAAAGTCATATGCATTCCTTTAGCACAATGGCACGTACAAGCCCTTAGTGTCAGTTGTTTATTAAGGAGAAAAATTGAGAGGCTTGGAGTTTTGAAGGCTACCTATCATTCAGGCAACAGAAGTCACAGAACCATTCTGTGCCACTGAGGAAGTAAGAAAACAAGTCAGGACTCTTCCATTCAGAGTCCTGGGATATAAAATGCTTGTGTCGAGTCTTCACTAGAGCCTGCTTGGCTGGATGGGGGTAGAAATCTGCCAGGGAAAGAATGAGAGGACATTCAATTCCAGTGGGTAATGTGGCTTTTGTCTTGTTTGATGAAACAGGCTGGAAGTGGATCTGGTGGTATACTTTTTTTTCTGAGTGTTAATTATATTTCCCACTTGCTTCCCTAGGCCTTGTTTCCCCTACTTAGGCATACCTCATCAAGAGTCAAGCAGGTAGCTCAGTTGGTTGGAGCATTGGCCCCTGTACCAAAAGGTTGCAGGGTGTTTTTATTGTTTCGTTTTGCTTTTCAAATATTTTTACTGATTTTAGAGAGAGAAGGGGAGAGGAATATATAGAGAGAAATATTGCTGAGAGAGAAACATCCAACAGCTGCCTTCTGCACTCCCCCCACTGGAGATTAAGCCTGCAACCCAGGCATGTGCTCTAACCAGGAATTGAACCGGTGATCTCTTGACTCATGAGTCGATGCTCAACCACTGAGCACACCAGCTGGGCAAAAGTTTACAGATATGATCCCTAGTCAGGGCACACACAGGAGGCAACTGATCAGTTTCTCATGTTGATGCTTCTCTCTCTCTCTCTCTCTCTCTCTCTCTCTCTCTCTCTCTCTCTCTCTCTCTCTCTCTTTCTCTCTCTCTCCCTTTTTCTCTTCCCAAAAATCAATAAAAACATATCTTGGGTATTATTTTTAAAAAAGAAGAATCTGGTAAGCAAAATATTCATGAGCATAAACAATGTGTCTGTATTGGGTCACAGTGATGCCATTTGAAAGGCGTGGCCCCCTGAGGGAAAGGGAAGATGATCCTACTCACATTCCATGTAAACAAAGGACCAGTCTGGTGGCCACAGAGGAAATGACACCACAATGGGTAGCCAAGTTAAAGAAATCAGTCAACAAATAACAGATTTTTAGTTTTTGTTCATTTGTGTTTGTTCTGTAACAGAGGCTGAAGAGAGCTCCCCACCAATACAGAGTGAAGAGCTTAAAGCTTCATTTGCCTTTTTTGTTTGTTTGTTTCATTGTTTGGGAGAAAAAGCCTTAGAATACAGGCATCTGCCTTTCTTCCCAGCTTGGGTAAAAATTGACTACTTATCTCTGAATTTTTTAAAATTTCTTTATTAAGGTATCATGTATTTATCTTCATTCCCCATTCCCATCCCAAACCTTTCCCCACACATACCCCCATCCCCATTTGTCCGTGACCACTGGTTAGGCTTATATGCAAGTCCTTTGGTGACCTCTCCCCTTCCCTACCTTTCCTCTAAGGTTTGACAGTCTGATCGATGCTTCCCTTTCTCCGGGTCTTATCTCTCCATTTTTACTTATCTATCAGTTTAAGTACAATGATCCTTCCAAGCAAAGGAGCTTTGAAGCTTAATATTTAAAATTTCTATCTTAAGAAATTAAGAAAAGCCTCTGAACATAATTTAAAAATACAATAGGCAAGACAATCTCTGTGATTTATCCAGCTTCTAAGTTTCTGTATAAGATAGCTTTATTTGTAGATAAGCATTTTATTAAATATCACATGAATTCATGGGCTTTCTTCACTCTGAACTCATGTATTTTTTGCAACCTGCATTATTACTAAAAAAGTAACAGTAACTCATCATCATGGAAAATTTTTCCCAAGATAAAATTCATCTTACTCTTTTCCTTCTCCCATTGTTAACCCACAGGCAAAGTTCATACATTCCACTAGGTGGTAGTAAAGAGAGCACCAATGGGAAATGGAGTGAGTCTACTTCTGGGAGAAAATATCCCAGAAAAATGTTTAAGTGATACTTCTATCCTTAGCAAGCAAGTAAATTACAGACTAGAACTTTTCAATGCTGAGAGAAAATGTATTTATGTGTACTGACATTTTATTTTCTGAAATTTAGGCAAGGTCAACTGATGTTTTACAACTGAGTTGCCTTCATCCTCAAATGATAACTCATATTGACTGTCTTTCTAAGAAAAGAACTCTGTGGCTTTACTGAAAAAGGACACAGTGCTTTAAGAGTGGAAATAAATAAAATGTAACTCCATTAGGAAGGGAGCTTGCTGGTTGGATTTCTAGCCTCAGGAACCATTCTTTGTCTTAATTCTCCCTTTTATCCTCCAAGGCAATTTAAATTCTGTGCAACAGCTACAGCTAAGAGAAGTTTGTTATATAATATAAGTCAAACAGCATAAACGTAATTTCATAATGATAAGGTCAGGCTTCTGATCAAATAAAGCAGAAGCCATGAAAATAGAGAGAAGTAATGAAAGACAGCAGCTGATAAGTTGTGTACATCAGTTTCAATGTCTCATTTCCTTATGAGGATTTTAATTTTTTCATTGTTCTCTACTAGTTTCTTTTAATTATTTTCATACATAATTAGTTGAAGAGGGCATTTAAAGAAAACACCCCATCATCCACTTGGTGTGTCTCAGTGGTTGAGTGACGACCCATGAACTAGGAGGTTCAGGTTTGATTTCTAGTCAGGGCACATGCCCGGGTTGTGAGCTCTGTCCCCAGTAGGGGAAATATCGGAGGCAGCCAATCGATGATTCTCTCTCACCATTGATATTTGTATCCCTCTCTCCCTCTTCCTTCTTCTCTCTAACATAAATAAAAATATATTAATATTAAAAAGTGGAAAACGAGATATATATATATATCAGATGCAGAGTCTATAACTTCTGAAACCACAATGAATTTGAAATTGAAATTCTGATGTGTACACAACAAGAAAGACTTTTCTTACTTTATGTTACACCTCACAAATACATATACAAGGCTATTGAATACATATATGTTTTGCACAGAATAACAAGGCACTTGGGTCTGATGAAAAATAAAGAGATCTGTCTCAGTGAAAATTGCCACTCTGTCTAAAAAGGCAGGATTTCAGAGATACTCTGAACCAGGGCAGAAAGAGCTTAGTAAGCTGAGGAAAGCAAAAACAGTCACATGTTTTGGCCTGAAGGACAGAAAAGCACAGTGGCAGTGAGGCTTGAGAATAATTCTGTCTAGGCAATGCACAGAGGACAGAGAAGAAATAGGATAATTGGGAATAACAAGAACATTTTTTCAGAAAGGGCAGCATGACTCTTGATTTTTTTAATCCAGAGAACAACCTGTCTTTGTTTTTGTTTTTTCAATTTTGCCAGTTTTTTTGAAAGATAAGCAAAGAAAACTAAAGAATATTGGACCCCGGGGTGGTCCATGCAGGACCTTGAGAGTGTATCACAAAGGAAGGGATAACAAATCCACCCACGCAGTGTTTTTGTAGAGAAAACTAGTTGGTTTGGTGAAAGGATTAAAAAAAAAAATCCTCAGTAATTATATAGCACTTTTTTTGTTCCTATGACATTTCACAGTCATTATCTTCTCTCAGCCAACAATCCAGAAAGCATGACTAATTTTTAAGTTGGAGAAACTGAGGCTCAAAACAAATGATTTCCCCAAGTTTCAGAGTTATTAAACTCTAGATTTTCTCCTGTTAATGCAGAGGTCTTTTGACAATGTAAAAGTTTAAGGGGGAAAAAATTAGTGGGGTACCTAAGATTTCCTTACCTAAAGAGTTCAACCCGGGCTCGCTTCCCTGCACCCCCAACCTTCACTATAGCGCTTACACTCTACGCATCTTAAGCTCCAACCACAGGGAACCCTTTTCCCTTTGGATTCCTCCTTACCTTCCTACCTCTGGATATTTTCCTGTCTTCCCCCCTTTACCTGGAATACTCTGCTTCCATCCTTTCCCCATTATGAACTGAAATGTATCCCCCTACCCCCAACTTATATGTTGCCACTCTAACCACCAACCCACGGTACTGGGAGATAAAGCCTTTAAGAAGATAATGAAGGTTAAATGGTGTCCAAAGAGTGGAGCCCTCATCCAATAGGGCTGGGAGAAGAAGAAGAGACACAGAACTATGAGCCTCAGTTTCCTGCCCTCCCCCCACCCCTTGCTTTTCTTCTCCTCACACACAAAAGGCTCTGTAAGGACATATACAGGGAGGCCTCACCAGACACCATCCCTGTTGGCACTTTGATCTTGGACTTCCAGGCTCCAGAATTATAAGAAAATAAATTCTGGTGTTTAAAATACCCAGTCCACGGTATTCAGTCGTGGCAGCCAGAGCGGACTAAGACATCCCCTCTCTCTCTCCTAATACAAACACTTCCATCTCCATTTAAGTGCCATTGAAATATTACTTCAGGAAATGAGACCTCTAGACAAGGTTAAGTACTCGCGTTATGTGCTGTTACAGCATCCTGCACTTCCTTAGGTTTAGATAAAATGCCTATCACACGTTTTTTATAACTGTTTAATGTTCTGCCTCTTGCTAATCGGTACACTCCACACAGTGCAAGACCATCTTTGTCCCCTGTATGTAGCATCACACATTATTATATCAAGTTAACTAAATATCTGCCAAAGGATTGTACATATTATAGAAAAGGGCTATGAAAACAACCTAGATGACTATTTACCATACTTGAATTATTTTGATTCTTTTTTATTTCATACAAAACCTAATATATTACATTGACACCAGAGAAAAAAATTATCTTTTGTCTCTTGCTTAGTTTCCTTTAGTGCACCTCTATACTAACAGATGATTAACATGTAGATATTGAAAGAATTATGGGGGAAGCTAACGTCTGGGCTCTCCTGAGACTTGTTCTAAGATGGGTAAGGGACAGGGCTGAGTTTATTTCTCAGTCTGTTCAAAGAGAAAGATAGTGCAAGTTTAACTGAACACTCAACTCTCTTGTAGTTTTAAATAAATTTTAAGAATGATCTTAAAGTTTATTTTTACAAAAGTGTAAGTTTTAAGGGAAACTAAAGATAAGGTGAATAGACAAAAAGAATGTTTAACTTTCTTACCTAACATGTGAAGGCAGTGAGGCCTGCTCACAGGGTCAGGATAAGGATTGCATTAAATAATCTGTGGAAAACACTCAGGATCTGATCTTTTTCTAATTATTTAAGAAAGAACAATTGTTATTTTTGTTTTTATAAATAATTGTTGATAATAGTAACAATGGTGAGTCTATCCAACGTGTGCCAATACACAGAGCATTAAGATGATTGCTGATGTGACCACAGAACTATATTCCATACTTTATGTTGGAACTGTGGAGAATAAGTATTTGGAAAAAAGACAAGAAATATTATACAGATGACCTGGTAAATACAGGTTGGTAAATTTGAAATCAACAGAAATGTTAGCCTGGGTGATTACACAAGTTCTCAAGACTACTCGGTGGGGAAGCACTCAGGAAGAACCAGAATGAATCAGCCTCAGAAAAGCCATGCTTCACTTCCCCGTCTGAAAGGACTCCAGATGAAGCCAGAGCTTCAGCCTATTGCCCATTTGTTAAAAAGGTTGCGTTGGAATGTGTGCATTCATTCACATGTTGCCTGCTGCTGTTTGTGATACAAAGGCAGAGTTGAGAGTTGAGCGGCTACCTAGCCCTTCACAGGCAGATTGCCAGCCCCTCCTCTAGATGATAGGAAATTCCTTGTACCATCACTGAGCCTCAAAACCTGCCTCTCCTCATGGACCTCAGCTCTCAGACTGACTTTGTGATTCCATCCAGCTTGGTTCCATGGGCTGGGCCACGCACAGCTCTGAGCCTGAAATAGAGACAGATAAGACCAACATGGGAGCTGACAACTACAATTATAGACAAGTCTTACTCCACGCAGCCATGTGAGGAAGAGGATCCTGAATGGGCTGCTGAAGGGGAAAGGACGTTACATAATTCCCTGGGTTGTATATTTTCAAACTGCTCGTTGCTGTGTTACATGAAGTAACAGGGACATAGAATCCCAGTAAAGGAACTGGGGCCAAGTGTGGTAGCTGCCCAGCATTAAATACTATGCAGCAGTGAAAGTAATGAACTGGGAATACACAGAGTAGACTGGATAGAAATAAAAAACAGTGCTGAGGGGAAAGGTTAAGAAACACAGTGAGAGCTACAGGACAAAATCCTTTACATGAACTAAAATTTAAGACATCCAAAGGAATAAGAGATACTTAAAAACACATACAACCAAAAGAATATTCACTGAATACATGAGAATAATTCCCACTGAGGGAAGAGGAGGGGAGCAGGAAATGAAGACAAAGGGGAATAGAACAACAACGAGAGAGACTTCATACAACCTGTGACAACAAGTGCCATGAACTGAGGGTGTCATTAGTAAACAGGTGCACCATGACTCCAAAAACTAAAATTAAAGATAATAACAGTCACCCCCTGGGATAAAGTTGAAATGGACAGGAATAGACTCAAGAGCTTTTCCACTGATAGGAGTGGCCTGATAGTAAGAAACTGATTGATTATCACAGGCTTTAATCAATGCAAATAAGCTGATCTCTAAAAACAGATGCAAGGTCTGAAAATTGTAGAATAGGGCTATTAATATGTGCAAATGACAATTTAATGGTGTTTATAAGCACTCAAACAAAGATATATATATATATATATATATATATATATATATATATATTCTCAAATAAGGTTACAGAAGAATACATTAAAAGTGTGGGCAAAAACCAAGCTAATGATTACAAATTGCTGCTGTAACACCTAATTTGCAAACCTATTCAGCTTCTTTAGTGCAATAGAGGCTAATTGTGAAAAGATAAGATATAAACAAAGGCTAGGAATAAAGGCAATTTTTTTCCATGGAACTGTTTGATTATTGATTAAATTATATGCCAAATGATTTTACAAGGTGATAAAAGGAAAAGGAAGACATGTCTATAAAATGCATAAGCCCTTAAACTCCCTGTGGAGTGAACCAGAAATCAAGGAGTGGACTATTTGGCAGCAAGATTGTTAATGTGAGCTCTCATGAAAATTTCATCCAGAAAGATTTCCAATGGAGTCGTGAATGAGGAAACTGTTTATATGAAGTGACTTAAAATGTTTCTGCATTATTCAGATTGTAGTCTGCGCATCTGAAGCTAGTATTCACCAAAAGCAAACTGCTTCTCTAGTTGAGCTCAACTCTAGAAGTGTGTTTAAGGTCACTCCAATGTGGGAGCAAATGAGTTAACTGAGTATGAGGAATTAATCAACTTCCACGAGAACCAAGGGCCGTTTGTCTGTGAGGGCAGCTGAAAAGTTGAATCTGCTGGTAGCTTGCAGATCTGTGGCGGCAGCCTGAGTTCTGGTCAAAGGGGCGGAGTGACTGACTCTTGACAGCCTGGAGGGTTGTCCCTACCATCAGACTCAACCCCTTTAATACATTTATTCTCAGCCCTGACATTATTTAGTTCTGTCTCCCTCCACCATCTCTCTAAAGGAGAGAGTGATGAAATCTGACTTATTGAAAAAGTGGAAGTGTGTGTGTGTGTGTGTGTGTGTGTGTGTGTGTGTGTTCATATAGCTGAACCTGCCTGAAGTTACTAAATAGGGTGAAGTTGAATAAAACAGGTGACAAAAAGCAAACGTTGGCTTTTTTAGATGTAGAGTTATAAGATATTCAGTATTGAACCTAACCATCTGAGGATCATCTAGTTTTAGCTTCTTGTCTGGAAAATAAAAAATTTGTAAACTACTTGTGTAGATGTTCTTTATTAAAATATTTTATTTCAGATTTTACCTTAATTTGCAATTAAAGCACTCAAGCTTTTAGTCTCTCATAAAGTTTTTAGCTACCTATGAAGAAGTATTTTAGAAGATATTGATTAAAATGATACTGACATTCTTTTATTATAAGAAATATTTTGGTAATATACATGATTTTGCCCATTAATTTAAGTGTTTTACAGGAGGTCATTGTATTAATGTTTAGTATTTTGTTTAATAATGTGAACTTTATAGAGCAATTGTTTTTAAAATTTTTACCCACTAAAAATGTAGTATTTTTATTAACAACTACAGGCCCGGGGCACAAAAATTCATGCACTTAGGGCGGGCGGGGGGGGAGGTCCTTCAGCCTGGCCAGCACCCTCTCACAGTCTGGGACCCCTCAGGGTAGCAGTCACCAACTGGTGGTCTGTGGATCACTGGTGGTCCGTGAGGTCTGAAAGGTCAGCAACCACTGGTTTAAGGAAACCTTTGGAGCAATGCACGCCAATCAGTGGTCCGTGGAGGTTGCGACCACTGCCTCAGGGAATGTCCACCTGCTAGCTTAGGCATAATACTCAGGGGATCAGGCCTAAGCTGGCAGTCAGATATCCCTCTGGCAGCCCAAGAGCCCTTGAGGGATGTCCATCTGCCAGCTTAGGCCCGCTCCTTGGACATCCTTAGCTCTACTGAGGAGGCAAGAGAGGCTTCTGCCACCACTTTTGCACTCGCAGCCATCAACCTGGCTTGTGGCTAAGCAGAGCTCCCCCTGTGGAAGTGCACTGACCACCAGGGTCAGCTCCTGTGTTGAGCATCCGTCCTACGGTGGTCAGTGCCCATCCTGGTGACCAGTTGTTTTGCATTCCTTGCCCATTCCTTTACTCATTTGCATTCATATACATGGCTACTTTTGTGCTATAATGGATGAGTTGAGTAGTTGTGACTGAAACTAGATGGCTCCAAAAGCCTAAACTATTTGCTATCTGACCCTTTAAGAAAATGTTTGCTAACACCTGGTCTTGATTATCAGAAGAAAGGAGTCATTAGTGATGCTATAGGGAACGATTTCACACCCCACACTAGAAGTTTCACATGAATAAACAATGATAACTTCCCCACCAAAGTATTCCCAAACAGGGTGTCAGTTGGTACCTCAGTTCCAATGAGTGTAGGTCGGATATATAGACTAGCAGATGTTGAATGTGGAACCCATTCTTGATCCAATTTCACAAGCTGCTTAATACACTCCATAAGCTCTTCTTTGTCGAATCCCTGAAGAAATGAAAAACATAATAATGGAATTTTCTTCATTTATAGCAATAGAATAAAATCCTCAAGAAAGCTTCAGACTGTTAAAAAAGTAATAAAGACAAATGAAAAAATTTAGTGGTATTTCCTACCCAATTATGATAGGATAATGGACAATCCATATGGGGAAAATATAAAATTGGATCCCTACCCCTTACCACACCCCAAATATCAACTATAATTGGATCATACACTTCAATGTGTAAAACATAAGACTTTTATTTAAAGAACATGCAAAATTATATGTCACCTTAACGTAGAAAAGAATTCTTAAATAAGAGACATAAAGCACAAATCATAGGAAAATATGAATAAAATTTGACTACTTAAAACATAAGAATTTCTGTTCTTCAAAGGATGATAGAAGCAGGAAACTGGGTGAAGTTATTTATACCATAACCAACAAAGATCGTACTGGAATATGTTAAAATATGCTGAAAATTAGTAAGAAAAAGTCAGACTACCCTGTAGGAAAATGGACAAAACTCAGAACAGTTTATTTCTAAGGAGGAACAGATTCTCATACTAGATGAGTGACAATCTATAATAGTAAAAGGGTTATATGCTTATTAGATCGGACGTTCTTCCAGATGTCCAGAATGAAGCCTGGGCCAGAGTGAAGCTGCCTGGGACCCGGGTGCCTGCCAGCAGCCGGAGGGAAGCCAGTGCCAGCAACTGGGGGGAGGCCTACTCTTGCATGAATTTTTCTAGTTTATAAAATAAGTAGTGTCAACTCACTTGGGAGGATAGAGAAACATGCTTTCAGAAATGTGATAGGTTATCCAAAGTAGAAATAAGTCAGAAATATGCATCTAAATAGAGCTCCTAACATCAGGATTGGCTATTTAAATACTAATTTTTAACAGCAGTCACAGCGCAGTGGCCGGCAAACTCATTAGTCCACAGAGCCAAATATCAAGAGGACGACGATTGAAATTTCTTTTGAGAGCCAAATTTTTTAAACTTAAATTTCTTCTAACACCACTTCTTCAAAATAGACTTGCTCAGACCATGGTATTTTGTGGAAGGGCCATACTTGTGAGCTGCAGTTTGCCAACCACGATCACAGTGTAATAATATTATAGAAATTGAGATTGCCAATCATATATGACATAAACCCCCCTGTAACACCTGCTTGTGTCTCTGGTACTGTTGTCTAAACACAATGTTTAATGGAAAGAGAACCTAACTAGGACTTTAAAAACGTGCACCCACTTTCTTACCCTTCGTGCTGTGTGACTTTAGGCAAGTCATTTAACCTCTCTAGGCCTGAGAGTTCCTCCCGGAACATAGGTGCTACTAAAATTTACAATACACACACCTTCTTGACAGTGCCTTACTATTATGATTATCCAGGTGTAGAATGTAAAACCTCTTAACAGTTTGCTATTCAATAAATATTACTGCCCTTTCCTCTGTCCCCATTTTAAAGTTTTCCCCAGTGATACGTCTGTAATGGGAAAAGAATGAAACTAGGACCAAGTCCAAAGAACTTACCTTCATTTCCCTTCTGCTATCATATTATGGCCTTAGAAGGAGGAAGCATGGGTCACAAAAGCAGAAAGAAGGAAGAGCCTAGCTAATAAGGAGTCGATACTTGGGTTTAGCTATTCTGGGGTTCTTAAATGCACAGCTGGGGCTAGGTTTCTGGAGGCTGAGTACTCATACTATAGAAATAGCAGCTGGTCACATCGCAGGGAATGAAAGTAATCAACATCATTTCCACCTACATGAGAAGTTTAGCATCTAAACCTAACCCACCTTATAATGAATTCTGCTCCATAACAAAGCCATAGCCAGGATCCAATGGCCATGAAAACCCATTTTGATATCATTGTGCATCTTTTTAAAATAAAGCTTGGGTTAAAATATCAAAATAATGACTTAAATAACTATATACTTGCTAGTGTCTAAGGCAATTAGGCAAAATATCCCCAAAATACCTGTGTGGCACCCCATGTTTTCCTTTTTTTCAATGTTATAATTTCATGCAGACTTTAGATTTTATTTCCTTTTGTTTGAGGCATGTTTTTATTCCTTATCTTTTTATGTCCCACATACACATTAATGCCCCACAGACACTAAGAAATAGATTGAGGAATTGCCAAAGGGTATTGGTTACTTCCTTACATTTTTACCTCTCTAATTACAAAGTAAATCAGATATAACTTCAGTGTTCATATGGTCTGTACTGAATATATAAGTATTCCAAAGTTATTTCTTTGGTGGTAAACTCATAGTGAATCATTATGTCAAGAAAAACACAAAAGAAATGCCTAAATTTTACCTACCGGCAAAGTTGCCCTCAGAGCAGATCGGTACATTCTATCCATGTTGAGGTCTGGCCGGAAGAGTCGAATTTTGTTATCTACGTCTCGAAATGCCTTCATTCCTTCAAATAACTGAAGATGAAAGAGAGATCAATCTTAGAGGTTAAGTAAATTAAAACAATGCCGGTGTTCAAAAGAATGACTTCTCTGTGGGCGCTCTTCTCCTTCATCCTGTAAAGCTGTTGACCCCAACCTCACTCAAGAGATCCCTAAATCTAGAAAAGCAAACTGATAGATTGGTAACAGTAATAGCGATAGAAAGAAGTCATTTTATTACCAAAATCTGGTGGGGATGCAGTTATCCTGTGCTTAGATAGAGCCATATTGCTAAATAATATACTTATGGGGATTAAAAGAAAACCATCCCAATCCCACAACATGGACCAAGTGCCTAGACAACAGAGGCAAAGACCAATGGCCCCAGGGGCACCCCTTAAAATACCCATGTACCTTTTCTTTGAATCTGGCTCATTCAGACTCCAGATAGTAGATAATCTAGATATGATTAGAGCTGGTTAAGTTCCAAGAACCATAAAAACCAAGCAGGTCAAGACATACTATGTTGGGGCCATGTCACCTTTCTAAACATGCTGCCCCAGACAAATCACTACGCAGAGATGTGAAAAGACTGAGAAGCAGGTATGTTCTGGCAATTACAAAAGAAAGGGGAAAATCAGTCACGTTAGTGGGAAATTTTAACACAGGTTCTCTAGGTAACCAGCAGAAAAGCAGGCTGAACTCAATGAAGGTATGAAAGACTTGAAAAAGAACAACAAACTAACCCACAGGACAAAGCCCAGTCCACACCACCTGCACAATGCATGATGTTTTCAATGTTCTCCACCAGAAGATCAGCCACAAATCAATATGAGAAATATAACTAGAAAATGTCCATAGTCTGGAAAAGAAGAAACCCATTACAAAATAAAGCACAAGATAAAGAGCAATAATGGAAATGAGAAAATACATCGAACTGAATGGTAATGAAAAGTAAAGCTGTTAAGAGACTTCTAGCCTTAAAGCTTACATGAGAAAAGAGAAGAAATATAAATCATGTAGCACAATTAAAAAGCACAAAATTCAATGTTGAAAGAGCAAATATAGGAGTAATTTATTAAATATAATCAGGGTAAAGTTTCAGTTAAAAGATAAGGCTATCAAATTGGACTCACTAAAAAAAAACATTGGAAACAAAAAGATATAGGAAGCAATACAAATACTTTCTAAAATAGAGCTGACAGGTGCAAGTAGTAGATAAATAAGCCTTAGATATTTAATGGACAGCATAGTGATCATAAATAATACTGAACTATAGGGTGCAAGTAGCTATAACTGGATCATAACTGTTCCCACCACAACAAAGAAATGATAATTATGTGACATGATAGAGAAATTAGCTAAGACTACAGTGGCAATTGTACTTCAATATACACCATGCATACCTTAAGCTTATAGAATGTTATATGTCAATTATACATTTTTTAAAACTGGTGGGTTATATTACTAAATACAAAATAAAATAGGTAACTTATTTACTTCACAATTCTTAAATTGTATGCATTTGACATAGGTTCAAGTAGATGTAAAGATTATATAATAATATTGAGTAAAATAGATGCAAAATATACAAAAGGATAACACAATATGACTTACTGGGACTTATTCCAGGAAGAGAAATTAGAAAATCAATTAATGAGATTTATTATATTATATTAAGTGTATGAGGGAAATGGTCTTCTCTAGATGTGGTAAATGTATCTGATAAAATCAAACATTCACTTATGATTTTTTAAAATTTCCCAGATAATTAAGAGTAAAAGGGAGCTTTCGTACATGACAAAGGATATTGAAAATAAACTTGCAGAAAACATTATACTTAATGATAAAACTTAAAGCTTTCCTTTTTGGATTGGAAACATCATAAATTATCTGCTGTGACTACTTAAGTTCAATATTCTACAAGCCAGTATAATAAGGCAGGAATAATAAAATAAATACATTCAATTTAAAGAAGGAAAAATAAAACTGTCCTAGAGCATGAAATATAGAAAAGATTAAATATCTAGAGAATCCAGAAAAACTGACAAAACCTCTTGAAATCATTTGTTTAGGCAAGGTAGCCAGATGCAAAATTATACTTCTATGGAACAGCAGCAGTTCAAAGATAAAAACTATCTATATATATAAAACAGAATAAAAACCAGATGGAGAAGACAATGGAACAAACATGGAGACACCGGAATAGACCTATGCATACACAACAGAGGTGCTATAACATATCAGAGGGAAAAGGACAGTCTTTAAATGGTGCTGGGATAACTGAGTATCTGCAGCAAAAAAAAAAAAAAAAAAAAAAAAAAAAAAAAAAAAAAAAAAAAAAAAATTAAAAAGAAGAAGAAAGAGGAGGAGGAAGAAGAGGAAAAGGAAAAGGAAAAAGAGAAGGAGGAGAAGGAAGAGAAAGAACAGGAGGAAGAGGAGGAGGAAGAGGAGGAGAAGGAGGAAAATTACAGGGTATATCAAAAGTAGGTAAAGAGTTGTTCATATGGAAAATGCAATATACAATACAACAAAATACAAAACAACAAAAATACAGTAATAAACAATCATACAAGAATAAACTCAGTGCTTCACATGTTCATGACTATAAACCTACTTTTATCCACCCTGGATTTAACAGCAGAAAGGGTTAAAGTTCACAGTGGTAAATCCAAGTTTTCTAAAATTCTGATTTTCACTTGAGGGCTAAAATGCTAGTATTGGCAACAAACAAAGTCCTTTGTTTCACTTGAAGTCACAGGTTCACTTTGTTCATTTTTCAAGAAAACACACACAATATAATCCCAGTTTACAAAAAGTTCATACAAGGTTAATAGAAAAATGAGGATAACTGTTGCCAAAAGACACTGGATTTATGATGTGAAAGGAACACTTGAAAGCTTCAGGGGTGCTTAAGTGATCTTTTTCTTTACCTAGATGAGCATTCATTTTTAAGTACTCATTAAATATTATATATGTCATTTTTTTCAAATTACATTTTATTTCACTAAATATTTATTTCAATCAGAAAAAGAAGTGCCAGTTTCATTTCATTTTATTTTATCCATATCCCCTACTCATAGTTTACATTTCTCTCCTTCACTATTTGAAACTTTCACTTATTTATCTATCAAAAATTTGCGGTATTAAAAAAAAACTACATGTAGTTGTAGATCTCAAAGTAAAATGGATTCTAAAATTAATAGGGCTGGATGAGTGGAAGAGACAGATGGTCAGGAAAATTACTCTTATATTTACTTTTGTATTAAAAATACAATTATTGAACTTAAAGATCATGTTGGCATATAATAACATAAGTGTGTTAATAAAAGAAAAAATGTTTTGCATAACATTTGGGAAGGGAAACATTTGAAATAAAGTATCTGCCTAACTTTTCCATCCTATCCCAAGCCTTTTGCACAGTTCCAAGCACATTGTAGGCACTCAACAACATTGAATGATTGAACAGGAAATGCTACTAATATGCCTCATGAGAAAACTCAGGGACCCTGAGGTTCTCTGCATATGACCATCACACTTCCTAAAGTCCTATGATACTCTCCTGGTATCTTTCCTGTTAACTTAGTGCCAATCATATGAAGAGGTAACCAAACACATTGCTTTTATCTCCCCATTTATCACTTATACATGTTGCAGATTATATTTTTCCAAAAATAGCCACACAATTTTTCCAATCCCTCATGATCTTCTAGAACTTTGACATTCCTCATCAGGAGGTGAAGAGTATATATACTCCCTTCTACTGAATTTGGGCAGGTCTTTGTGATCACCATGACAACAAAGTATGGCAGAAGGAATGCTGTGATTTTGATTCTAGGTCATGAAAAGCACAGAGCTTCTATCAGGGCTCAGCTGCTTGTGACAAAAAGCTTTGGAGCTCACGTCACAGAGGACAAGTGTAGCTCTTCTCAGAACACCGTATCTGGCACACCACACGGACAGAGAGTGATGCCAAGAAACCCCAGCATTTCAGCCACCACGTCTTTGAGTTTCATCAGGCATATGTGTCAGGAAGCTCTTGAGCCAACCAATCCCAGCCACTATCTGACAGCAAGCACGTAAGACACAACAAACCAGAAACTGCCAGCCATCCTAGTCAACTCCCAGAATCATGCAAGATATAAAACGATAGTGGCTGTTCCAAGCGATTAATTTTGTTATGTCGCAATAGATAACTAATGTAAAACACAGTCCAGTTCTTAATGCAAAACAGATCCTGTGTTTATATTATTTATGGAGACTACTAATACAGATTTCAGTTTTTATTTAACAAAGGATAACAATAGCAATTTAAGTTTTAAAAAAAACACACAAAACTATCCTGGTCACAAAAATCTACATTGGCAAAACTAATAAACTCATTTAAATAGATGTCCAGTGAGTTTCAAAAACCAATAGCCATCAAAATATTTTTTAACTTTCAAAATGACCTTAATTCTTTCTTGTTTACTTCCCACAAGCCAGTGATTCACAAGATGTAGTTTTGAGGGTCTTAAAATGACATGGGGACTTAGAAGTCAGAGCCTCGAGGGTAGAACCCGGTGACTCTAATGAAAGCTGTGTGAGAATCACTGCCAAATTCCTTCTTTCAAGTTCATAAGCATTTTATTTCATTTGTTCATCACTGTACATAATGACATAGGCTAGGGCAGCTACCATTCTTATTTTATAATTAAAGAAACTGAGGCTTGGACTAAATAATATAAGAACTCATCGAAGTTGGTACAGTTAAAACACATAGATGGGAATGGAAGCTTAGACTTCTAAATTCAACATTTAGTGTATACATTGGGGCAGCTAATATATTTCCAATTATTTGAATTTATAATTTTGAACAAGTTAACTGGACAGGCCTTTCTGAAATTTTAGTGTATATGTTTGAAGAAAACATCACAGGGATTATGAGCTTGCCATTTGAACCATGACTCCTCCCTAAATGCTATACAATTTTGAACAAGAAACTTAACTTTTCTAAACCTGCTTCTGTAATAGGTGATAATAATGCTTCAAGGGATAGTAATAATAGATAATAAGGAGGTTCTCATTATGCATTAGGTATGGTTCTATATGCTTAAATGAATCGCCTTACCTTCTTCTTATATAATAACACTATGAGGTAGGTATTATCACCGCCTCAATTTCACCAATAAAAAAAAATTGGAAGCATACAGTCATTAAATAAGTTTCCCAAGTAACAGAGTGTCCTAGAGCAACAAAGCCAGAATTTGAGCCCAGAAAGTCTGAATCCAGAAATATAAGCTTTCTCATTTAAAATAATAACATGAGATGACCCATTGTAAAGTACCTAGTACAGGGCACATGGCAGGAATTCAATTTTAAAAATTCATTATTGTTATGAATATTTATTATTACCATATTTTAGTCCTTTAATAGGTAGACTATTGCTTATTTTAAGCATCCCAATATTCTGAGTATGTCTAACACATTATAAGTAAGTAAAATAAAATCAGGGTCGCCCTAGCCAGTTTGGCTCAGTGGACAGAGCATTAGCCTGCAGACTGAAGAGTCCCAAGTTTGATTCCAGCCAAGGCACATGCCTAGATCGCAGGCTCCATCCCCAGTGGGGGATGTGCAGGTAGCAGTCGATCAGTGATTGTCTCTCATCATTGATGTTTCTTTCTCTCTCTCATTCTCCCTTCCTCTCTAAAGTCAATAAAGAAATGTATATTAAAAAAAATCAGGGTAAAGGGAAAGGGGAGAGTATTGTCTATCTGGCTACATGTGAATCCTATGAAGGACAAGAGAAAGCATCTTTAAATATTTAATGCTTATGATTATTTCACTCAAGCCTAAAGGATGACCTTTAATTACATGTCCCTCAACATGCATAACTACACATTGCTGGTCATAAAAACATGAACTTAGCATTAAAATCTAACCAAATTATTGTACTCAGTGGCCTCTTCTCAATCTTTAGAAGATCTGAGAAGACAAGTGCCTTTGTAAAATATTAAAAGTACATTCTTTTTTATTGCAAATTTTCTTACCAGCTGTCCTTCCTATTTGCTAAACGATTTTTATGGACATTATAGAAAACTCAAGAATATCTAAAAAATTAGTTGTTAAAACTTATCTTCAGCCGAAACTGGTTTGGCTCAGTGGGTGGAGCGTCAACCTGCAGACTGAAAGGTCCCAGGTTCGATTCTGGTCAAGGGCATGTACCTTAGTTACGGGCACATCCCCAGAAGGGGGTGTTTAAGAGGCAGCTGATCGATGTTTCTAACTCGCTATCCCTCTCTCTTAATCTCTGTAGAAACTCTCTCTCTTTCTCTCTCTCTCTCTCTCTCTCTCTCTCTCTCTCTCTCTCTCTATATATATATATATATATATATATATATATATATATGACTTACCTTCAATGAGACTGTCTATAGGAAAAGTTTCAAAGACATTTATGAGTGCCTGTAGTAAATATGATCAAGTCCACGCTGCCCAAAAGCTATTTTAGCAGAGGGAGCTATTGGTGCCCCCAATGAAGAGCAAGCATGTTACCACCCTTCAGTGCAGTGTACTCACCTCCACTGCATAGTGCAGAGCCGACGAGGCAGGGTGCAACGACAGGTTCTGAAAAGGCTTGATGTGTGGTTTCTCCCATCCAAACTCTGAAGACCACTCGATTGTCAACATGTGGTCTGTGAAAACGGTTCCAAAAGCCACAGTGTTTGGGTCAGGTTTCTCCTTTAAAATGGTGGCTGGTGTGATTATTAGATCTTTAGCCTAGGGGAAAAAAATCAGTCCCGTTAAAGAAGAGTAACAGAACATCTACTAGCTACAAATAAAGAGGGTAAAAAAAAAAACAAAAAAAAAAAAACACATAAAATTTAAGTCATTAGCCATTGAAAATTTAAATCGCTTGACTTTTTTTTTCTATCCCCCAAATTTATTTATCTTATAATTGGAACTGTGTGCCTTTTGATCACCTTCACTCATTTTCCCTATCCCCACTTGATTTTTATTTTACTTTTTATTGATGAGAGAGAGAGAGAGAGAGAGAGAGACTTATTGTTCCACTTATTTATGCATTGATTGCCTAACTCTTATATGTGCCTTGACTGGAAACTAAACCCAAAACCTTAGTATATTAACTAACTGAGCTACCTGGCCATAGGCCCCAATTTTATTTTAGGTATGTATGTACCTAAAGACAGACTGCCACATATAGTGCCTCATATGTGTTTTTATATTTTTAATGTATTTTCTATTTATTTCAAAGAGGAAGAGAGAGGGACAGAAATATCAATGATGAGAGATGTTCCCAATGGGAATCAAGCCAGCATGTGCCCTGACTAGGAATCCAACTATGACTTTCTGGTTCAGCTACTGAACCCCACCAGCCAGGTGTAGCACCTCATTTGGATGTGTCAGAAGTCTTGAAAGCTTGACTACCCTATATTCTCCTACTGATAGACCTTAAGAGCTTGTTTGAGGTTCTAGCAGAGGAGCACAGCAAGGTCATCCTCTTGATGAAGCATGCAACTTCGGGAGGAAAGCACCTGGATTGCACATGGATCAGTGAGGGAGGGAGGAAGGGGACACCTATCTAGCCAGCCAGACCAGCTGAATCAACCACGGTGGTCAAAGAGGTGATAGATGTTGCAGCCACTTGACTTCTGTTATTATTTATTTATTTATTTATTTATTTATTTATTTATTTATTTTGATTAAGTAAAGTTTATTTTACCTACAGCTCCTGCAATATAAACTGAATGTAAATACTGATAGTGAGACATATAAAGAAGAACTACTGATAAATGTCAGAACATCATGCCCTCCAATTCATCTTCCATGAACTTCTTATAAAGTGCCATAAATTTGGCCACAAATGCTTCCAAGGGATAAATGGCTTTACTACTTAGCTGCAGACGATGTTCATAGTAAGCTGCCATCTGGGCCACTTCTCCTTTCAGTTGTCCATCACAATTCTGTAAAAGTTCTGAGAGAAGGCCCTTCATTATTATTTCAGGAGGAATACAATGAGTTAAAAGCTCATAGAGTCTGCCGCGAACTTCAAGGAGCCCCTGGAATCTGCTGACTGACAATAGCATTGCCAGTCTCCCTCAGATACACCTCCCAATCTGTTTCAGGGACTTCTTGATCTTCAGTAAAAGGATATTGTTCCACTCTGCAGGCTTCACACATGAGTAATGCTTTTCTGAGATTTCTGCAGGACTTCTCTGGAAGTCTACAAGCCAGCTGTGAAAGGAGATTCAGACCTTCCTTCTTGCACACAGTAGATAAAACATTGCAAATTTCCTCAATGCTGAGCAAGCACATGAACTGCCAGACACCTACTACGAATGGGTGGTATCACTTTAGATGTAGAATTGCAACACAAGATCAATCTGCAGGTAGACATATACTTTTACATAGTTCTACACAAGGCATGTTGAACATCTCTGGTGAGTTTGTCAACCTCTGTCAACAAAACCACTTTAAAGTCTCTTTGAGAGTTTGTTTCAAGTTGCTGTGATTGTGCCACTGTTTTCAACATCTCCTGAATTACTACCCGGTCACTATTTCCGGCATCACCGGGATTAACTTCAAGGTGGTAATTGCTTGCAATAGTGCTAATTTCAATTTTCTTTTCAGATGGAGTTGTGATGGTCTGATGTTCAATTCTCAATTTTTCCACTCCACACCATAAAGTTCACATAAAATACACATAATTCTTGTCTTTTTACCAGCACCTGATGGACCATACACTAACAAATGAGGAAAGTTACCACACTGTATCAAGCTGTGCAGCCCGGCCACCTGCTTCAGTGGTAGTCCAGCCACGCCAGCGGGCAGGGCCGGTACTTGTTGGCCCAGAGGCTCATGGCGGCCGGAGTTCCTGGGTTGGATGCTCCAAAGTCCCGAGAGCCCAGCAACGGCGGCGCTCCACCCATGTCTCCTCAGCCACTTGACTTTTAAATATTGGTAACTGACTCAGAAATTTAACAGTATGTGAGCCTACCAAATCATGCCTGCGTTCAGAATCCAGCCTGTTGTTTGAAATCTCAGTCACGTATACTGCCTAATACGGATCAGAACCAAAATTCGGTGATATACAGAAACAGGAACAAAAATAGCAGAAGGAGTAAAATGATGAAGAAGGAGAACACACCCCCTCTTTGTTATCATCATTGGGCTCGTGTTAAGCACCTGGCAAAGAAGAAAGGGAGGTCATCTCTAATACATACAGCAACACCAGCAATAACTTGTTAAACTAAAATGAAGGTCATGAAGAACTGAACAACTTGGTGATGGTTATACTTCCAACTCCCCCAAAGAAGTCTTGGATAAGCCTTACCCCCACTCCCCGGGGGGAACTGTAGAAGCAATGCGCAGAACGAAGCAACCGTGTTCCTCCTTAAACACAGAGAAGTAGAAAATGAACAACAACATATTAATCCTCTGTGCTGTCCTGAGGAATCAATGAACAAAGGGATCTTCGACTAAGAGAAAGATAAATGAGAGTCATAGGAAATAATCTCAGCATCTCACCAACACGCCACCTAGCCAGCTTGTCCACTACAAATGACCAAACACAAAAACATGCAAGTCACAGACAACACCATCAGTAACGTTATAATAGCTATAGAATGCTGACAAAAACCACAGGTGAAGGAAGGTTTTGACCCAGTTATAAAACAATATTACCTAGGCACGGGTTCAACCTGTTAACAAGCTGTAAAAAAGGTCAAACTTCACTTATTGAAACACAAAAAGTTCTTATCCATCCCCCCACACCCCAAAATCAAATACAGGTCTTCACTTTATACCATCAGCTCTTATCTTTATTTTTAAATGATCTACTTACTTTTGACTGATTCACTGCCTTACAGCTGCCTTAATCACTTGCTTATACATGATAACCAGTTTCATTTTTATAATAATATTCAGGCTGATTATTATTCAGTTTCATATTCAGTTTCATATTTAGAATAATATTCAGGCTTTTGTGTTAGAATAATGTAGTCTAACACAAAAGCTCATTACAATTCTAAAATGGAACATATTTCCTCCAAAACTTGGTCTCTATTTCTAACATTCATATTATTTTCTACTTTTCTTTTTACCCCTTAATATGTTGAATAAGGGCAATGCATGTTTACTATTTTACTTAAAAACTTGACTGTAAAGAAGGGAAGGAAAATGAAAAGTATAAAATCCCCAGCTACTTTCCAGCCCACCGCATTCCTGCTCCCCAGAGATGATCTTCGCTCACAAATTCCTTTGTGTGTTTTTCTGTATTTTCTGTGCACCGTTGTTACTTCCAAGGTCATTTATCATTCTCATATTCTCACAACCCTTGGTTTCCCACATTAGTCACTGAACTGAGACACTTGTCCAGGCAAGTATTTCTTTAGTAGGTCTGCCTCTTCAATTGCTACTACCCCCTCAGTAGCAAATACTCTGTATCTTTTTCCTGTTCAAGGTCCTAGTACAGGAAAATAATTTAGCCCAACTCCCTTTTCCAAGTCTACTTCTCACTAATTAATGTGCTAGTCTTTTACTTATCATTTATTAATGCACTCAGCAGCAGATAAATAAAAAACTAGTAGGAGTTGGTTTTCTCACATAACAAGTCTGGAAGGAGCCAGGGCTGGCCATGTTCTGGAACCCCATAGTGCTGTGATTTTTCTTGGCTTCTCAGGGTTAAAAAAGGCTTCTGCAGCGGTAGCTTCCGTTTTAATGATCTAACCAAAGTCTAGAGGAAGTGTGGAGAGGACGATGGCAGACTTTTCTGCTCCCTTTAATCGCAAAAGCAAATTTTGCCAGAATATCCCTTATGCCTGATTGAATAGAAATGTGTCACGTGGCTCTTTCTAGCTGCAAGGAAGGCGAGGAATCAAGGCTGTCACCGAGGGCCGGTCAGTGAACTGCAAACAAAATCAAGGTTCTGTACCAAGGGACAGGAGGCTGGTGGGACTGTATTTTGGGTACATATCAGCCCAGTGCCAGAAAACAGTACTAGTCCTTAAGAATTCTGGTTTGCATACCTTTGTCTAACATGGAAGAAAAAACAGAAGGACTGAAACATGGCTACAGAAGCCCTCTCCTCCACCCCTTTTTTTCTCCCTACCATTTCCTCCACTTGAAGCACAAGACATGAGATAACCCCAGGTTAGCCAAACTCTCTTCTTTCTTGTCCAGCAGTGAGTATGGAAATGGCATCCTGATCTGGCTCAGTAACCTATTGCAGTATCCTCAACTTTCAAACTCCCTAGCATTTGCTTTACTCACTGTTCAAACAACCTCTCTCTATAGACAGCTTACCCTGCAAAAGGTTTGGTTTGGCTTCATAAAATTCTTTTAATGGATATGAACAATTGGGAAATGGGAGTCTTGATTCTTTCTTGTATTGGCTTAACTCTCATTTAGCACAGTAACTATTATACATATCACTTATGTCTGATTGATTCTGTTCTAAACTTCACAGACCTTGAATTGATCTTCATGGTTTGGATACTGACAATAGACTGACACAGTTTTATTTTTCTTTAAATCTACTTACCATAGTTCATAAAAGAAACCCTAAAAGAATCAATGCCCATTATATAATTTTTACTTTTCTAAAAACTCTTCTTTTTTTAATATATTTTTATTGATTTTAGAGAGGAAAGGAGCGAGAGAGATAGAAACATCAATGATGAGAGAGAATCATTGATTGGCTGCCTTCTGCATGCCCCGCACTGGGGATCTAGCCCAGAAACCTGGGGATGTGCCCTGACTGGAAATTGAACCATGACCTCCTGGCTCAACCACTGAGTCATACCCATTTGGGCTGAAAACTCTTCAAATACCTCTGGACCACCCATGATGAGCCATTGGCCTAGAACAGTGGTTAGCAAACCGCAGCTCAAGAGCCACATATGGCCCTTCGGCCCCTTGAGTGTGGCTCTTCCACAAAATACCATTGCCTGGGCCAGTCTATTTTGAAGAAGTGGCATTAGAAGAAGTTTAGGTTTAAAAAATGTGCTCTCAAAAGAAATTTCAATCATTGTACTGTTGATATTTGGCTCTGTTGACTAATGAGTTTGCCCACCACTGACCTAGAGAGATCTACTTAGTTAATGACAAAACAGAGATATTGAATAAGGTGTTTTTATGCTCAACTTAATGCTCTTATATAATAGTAAGAACTTGTTAATCTTAGTTAAGTTTCTGGAAAGTGAATATAAAAAATTATATTACCAGATAAACCACCACATTCTTTTGTAAGACATGCAATTTCTTATGATGTGAGTAGAAGCCCTCTAACTTTCTGCATAAGGATTGTCCTCCAGGCAGTTTTTCAAAGTAATGCACTATTTGATGACTTTAGAATTTCATCAACCATTCCAATTGTCTTTTATTTGAGAAAATTCCTGCAATTCTGGAAACTAAAAATAACAGTTAGTATTCTTGGGTAATTTCTGAGTTAAAACAGAAATTACCCAAGAATACTAAATTTAAAAAATTAGGTGATACAGTTGAATGAAGTTGAAAAGTAAACAATGTTAAGTAAAGGTGTGTGATAGATTTTGAGTAGGTATGAAATGAAGTTTTAAATTAAAAAAAAAATCACTGACATGAAAGAAACAGATTTCATAAACCATTTTTACCTGTGTTCTTTAAAAACCAATTTCTTTTCCTACATTTCCTTTCTGAAGATAGATAAACATTAGCTATTTTTAAAATGATACTTTCTCCTGCATAATTAATCTGTTTCTGATGTCCCATCACTTCTGACAACTTCAAGTCAGGATGTTTCATACCATATGCTTGTGGGAAAATGTGGGAGGCCACCATGACTGGATTGGGACATAATAAGAAATACTGGTAAAAACAGAGCATATTAAAAAACAACAATTTCCTAACTCAAAACATGTGCTTGGGTAACTCCTCTGAAATGGGGAAGCCTACAACAGGCTAGTGCAATTTGGCTGAGAGCTCTGAGAACTGGGTTAGCCAGCACTCCTCCGCTTTTGCTTGTCACTTACTACTGCATCTGCAAGTCTCTGCCCTGGCCATAATACTTCAACTATCAAAGACTATCTCCGCATTACATCAGAAGTTGCATAATTTTGTTATACAATAAGTGCATTTCCCCCCCTCTGTTTGGAAAGTGTTATCTTTTAGAGACACCCAAAAGCCAATGAGGGGGCATGCAGAGGAGAATGACAGATTTGTAGTGTCACATTCTGGGATCTGTAAAGCAGGGGAATGGGAGGAAAAAGACAGCTGACCTTCTGGAAACAAAGAAGACTCTGAAGTCTACAAAAAGATTCCCTACGAATACGGCATCTCACAGCTGGACCCTGCTGAAAAACTGCATTCTCACTGTAAAATGGCCACTTCAAAATGGGGGAGAGGGTGCAATATGAAAACTATCCACAAGAGACCCAATAGCAACTTAAAAGTCATAAATGGGGTTAATTGAGAAAGAGAGCTCTAACCAGATTGGCTTAGTGAATAGAGCAATGGGCCACGGACTGAAGGGTCCCGGGTTCAACTCTGATCAAGGGCATTCTTTGTGAATTCTTTACTTTGCAAAAAAAATTAATTTTTCTATGTTTAAAGTTTAAAGAGTGTGTTCCACCTCCCAGGAGCATGCTCATGCCTTTCCCTTCCCTCTCTCCTTCCCCTACAGGCATGCATCTCCTAAACACTAAGGGTCCTAGGAGACTAGCAACCAGGAGAGTAATGGGCAGTGGCAGTAAGTCCTAGGCCAGTGGTCGGCAAACTCATACGTCAACAGAGCCAAATAGCAACAGTACAACAATTGAAATTTCTTTTGAGAGCCACGTTTTTTAAACTTAAACTTCTTCTAACGCCATTTCTTCAAAATAGACGCCCAGGCCGTGATATTTTGCAGAAGAGCCACACTCAAGGGGCCAAAGTGCCGCATGTGGCTTGCAAGCTGCAGTTTGCCGACCACGCTCCTAGGCTAACCCCTACACTTGTCTCCAAGGCCCACTTTTCACTTTCTGTGACTTCTCAGTGGGCCAAAGCAGCCCCTACCTTGACTCTCTCCTGTTGCTTCTTCTACCCTCAGCCCTTCCTTGTTTCACTGTCCCAGCTTTAAGAAACATCCTCTCATAAAAGAAAAAAAAAACAAGTATAATAAACTTTTGGGGAAAGTTGTATATATCTATTCCCTTTGAAGAATTTATTTACTATATAAGATAACTCTTAGAGATGATCAAGTATGAGTCCCCTTTATCTTACCGTCTCAAAAACCCATCTCAATATCTAAGTTCCCAAAAGGTATGAGAAGCAGATATGCTACAAGGTTGCAGGGGATATTATCTCTAAAGGACCAGGAATAATATTCACAAACTTATTTTAATGAGGAAATTACTATATTCTAACGTTTTGGTTTTTTAAACAAAGCCTGAGAGCAGAGACTTTATCTGGACCGTATTTCTGGATACCCACTGTCCAGCACAGTGCCTGGTACACAGTAAGGGTTGGGTGTGTGTGTAAAATTGATGAGTCAAGGCTCACTCTCTCTCTGAATCCTGCCAGGATGTGAGGTCATGGAGGACACGCTGTGCTACGGTGGACAATGTGACTGAAACAGGCAGCAGGAGGCAGAACCAGCCTAAAGAGAAGAAGCAAAATCCTCCAGGGCTGGGGAAGAGCATATAGTGATTTATAGAGGAAGTAATACTTCACATTTGTATTTTTTCTGATTGTTCAAAGTACTTTAATAAGATTCTTTCTCAGTTGCTCTGTGAAGTATGCGATTTAATATTATACATAAACCCATAATTCAGAGAGGAAAGAAGAAAAATACAAGTTTAAATGTAAAATATTAGGCGCTGCTTTAAAAAAATTAATTATGGATTTAAATCTTCCCAGAAGTGGAGTAAGGGTCACACTTATTATACAATCAGACAAACCTTTAGGTGGATAGTCATGAATTGATGACTTGCCAAGGAAAAGTTATGACTTATGAAATACTGTAAGTAGTGAACCGCCCTGTGGCTTTAGGTGTGATGAATGTACTCCGGCTCCCGAAATCCTTTCCCCACTAAGAGTGGAATTTAAAATGCATAGCAGCATACCAAACTCCTGTAGAACCGGCACAGTGAAAATTGCCCCAAAAGGTCAACAAGCAATGAACTTTTATTCAGTGGGATTGTTGTTTCACTGAATCTCAGGTGCACGTCTTACCTTCAAAGTTCCCATGACCGGATTTGATCCTGCTTCTCTGATACACTCTTCCAAGCATCCATTATTGCAGTCCTTAAAGAAAAAGGACACGCATTAAGCAGAGCCAGGTGGGTAACTGGGGCTTGGGGTATTCGGTATCACTCACCATCACAAGGTGGGCTCCGCAGCGGTACCCAAGCAAACAGGAAGCGGAGGATGGAGCACCCAACCAGGGCCCCTAAGGAGAGGGCTGTCCTTCACCCCCCACCAGCCCGAGGGAGGTCTCGGCTGTTTTTGTCCTCCGCCGCTGGCTTAGCGCAGGCAGCTTCAAATCCAGGCTCGCCCCGCAGAGCCAAGGCTCCCCAGCAACCAACAGGAAGGTAATTGTGTCCCTTATATCCCAGTAAATCATCTAGACTAGGGTGTTAAGCCATTTATAGAAAAAAAAAAAAATCTCCCGGGCGCTCCAGCCTCGCGGTCTTGTCAATCACAGGCGCACAATAGCTGCCCGGAAAGGGGACCTGGAGGGGGGTGAGCCCTCCTCACATCCACACACCAAACCCACCCGCCGCCAAGGACGGAACCTCCCGGAGTTGGGAGTCATTTAAAAAAGAGCCTCAGGGACGCCATGGAAGAAGGGCGAATTGAGAAAAAGATGCGGACCTTTAAAAAAAAATGAAATAAACTAGATACAGCCTAATCTGCTGAGTAACTACGGCAGAAAAGGGAAGAAAGGGACTCCAGATGGCTGCGGGCAAGAGATTTTGGGGTGGCGAGGGCGCGCGGGATGTGGCTGTCAGTGCAGGCAGCCCAAAATCCAGCCCCCGCCTCCTCCGCCAAAGCGGCTCCATGGCCACCCTCCCTCCCTCCCCCAGCACCGTGGGCGCTGCGCTCCTGGCAGTCACCCTGGGGCTTTGGACTTGGTTGGTGGGGGCGGTTCACCCACTGGGACCCCAGAGGTCGGGCAGGGCTGCGGCTGCGGTAAGAGGAGATGCCTCGGTGCAGGCGGATCAGCGATACAAGGTGAGGCAGGATGTTGCAGGCAAGGGCAGCAAGGAGCCCGGCCAGGCCCGTGCTTGCGCTTCCGAGACCCAGAGTCTAATCTGCCCCCCTTCCTCAAACCTCCCTCTTCCCCAAACGCCAGGATGGAGGTACCTGGGGCAGGCTGGCCATGGGGAGCCTCCAGGAGCGCGGGGCAGCGAGGAGCGATGGCTGTGGCGGCGGCGCGCAGGGCACAGCTGGTGGATGTGAACGCGGGCGGCGCGCCCCAGCTCCTGCGCCCGGACCGCCTGGCACCGGCTGCCACCAGGGCTGCCACCGCTGGGAGCCACGCGTAAGAACAGGACGCAAGGAGCCACACAGCCGCTCCAGCATCCCTGGGAAAGGAGCCTGCGCCCGTCTGGTCCCCCTTCAGGCGGGAAAACCAAAGCCTTAAGCCCTGCCACTGAGTCCCTGGCAGGGGCACCGGAGTTCGCGCCAGCAGGGAACTACCCCTGGGCGGGCGGCCCGAAGGCCCTTCGGCTATGGCAAAGGCAACCTCAAGGAAATATATTTATTTACACAGGGCAGATTTTCCTTTGGCAGACAGACAAAAGCAGTCCTGTCCCATCCCTGACCCCAACCCCCTCCCCTCGCCCCCACGAGAGTTCGTGCCAGGATCGGGCAGTTTGATGCATGGGCTCTTCTCTGCCACCGACCTCCTTGTGCAAACTAAGTCGGGTTCACAACTCGGGGTGTCGCAGGGCTACCAGGCTCGTGTTCCCTGAGAGCTGATTCTACCCAGAGACCTCGATGCCACTTGGATCCACGCGTCCATCATTTTCAGGCGAAACGGACTATCAAGCGCTCCCAATCAAACTGTTGTGACAGTTTTCCCATATAGGTGGTGGTGGGGGGGGGGAGGAGATATTTAGAAAGAAGGCTGGGAAAGGGATGCTTGAACTATAATACTATTTGAATAGAAAGAGAAAATAAGATTGTTATACCTACTGTCTCCACTGGTGTGTTTCTCCCCACCCCCCCCCTACCCCAGCAATAGAGTAATGCCACCCTAAATTATGAGCCTTCAAAAAGGCTTTTAAAGAGATAGGAAGTGATGACTTGTGCTGACTTGAACTAGAAAAGGGAGGAGGGCAGTTTATTTTTGGGTAAAAGCAATTAAACCAAGTCTGGTTTTAGAATTGACTATACAGCCCTAAGGATAATACAGCTGTAATCTTATCAAAAAACAACATTCCCTTCTTCTCCCTCTCCTCACCGCCTATTTACACAAGGCACAGAGAAGCCTCTTTTACGGGGGTGGAGTCCCAAGCTCCAAGGACCATAGAGCCCAGGCAAGTGAGTCTCTTCTTAAAGAAATTTAAAATCAAATCTCTCTCTATAAAAGCCTAAGCAACCACCAACCAGCTGACCATCTGGTAGCTACGATGCACACTGACCACCAGGGGACAGATGCTCAACTTCAGCAACTTTACAGAGTGCCCTCTTGCACTCCCAGACCCCTCAGGAGATATTGAACTACAGGTCTCGGCCCCATCCCCACAGGCCAGACCAAAGAACCCCACCAGTGCATGAACCAGTGCATGAATCTCTAGTTTTAAAATTAAAAAATAAATAAAAAGACTATGTAAACACTGGTGCTGTCAGTTTGAGACTCCTGGCCAAAGTTTAAGAATAAGAAACTCTTGCCCTGCCCATGTTGTTCAACGGCTAGAGCATGGGCCCACATACTACCTGGTTAGATTCCAGATCAATGGCAGGTACCTGGGATGCATATTCATCCCCAGCCCCATCAATATGCTTGTGTGCAGGAGGCAACCAACCCATGTGTATCTCTCATATTATATTATATTATATTATATTATATTATATTATATTATATTATATTATATTATATTATACTAGAGGTCTAGTGCACAAAATTTGTGTGCTCGTGTATGTGTGTGTGTGTGGGGGGGGGGGGGGTCCCTCAGCCCGGCCTGCGCCCTCTTGCAGTCAGACATTCCTAGCACTGCGGCAGAGGTGGGAGAGGCTCCCACCACCGCTGCTGCACTGGCCATTTGTGATTCCAGCTTCTGGCTGAGTGGCCATGAGATTTTTTCTCTCTTTTTTTTTCTTTCTTCTGTTTTGTTCAATTTTTCTACCCCACCCCACCCCACTTTGCTAATGGATTAAAACTTTAAAACTGTCTTATTCCAAAGTAGGGGAGAGAAGTTAATTGAACTCAGAATTTTTTTTGTGTATCTGCAACAAGAATTACTGTGTTCTTGTAAGTTATCTGTAAAATTATCCCCCCAAAATTAAACAATGTATATATACAATGAAGGGGCCCATAGAATCTTAAAAACAAACAAACAAACAAAACATTGAGAAACAAGCTCATAGGTACAGAGAACAAATTGGTTGCCAGAGGGGAACAGGTAAAAATAGTAACACAGGGATTCTTAGCTAATAAAAGAGTAATATGAAAATTGACCATACCTCCACTACACCACAAGTCATGCCCACCAGCCAATCAGAGCAAGTATGCAAATAAACCCAACCAAGATGGCTACAGCCACAGAGAGCAGGAGGGAGGCTTGGATTTTTCTAGCAACGAAGGAAACCAAGCTTTCCTCCTGCCCTAGCCAGCCAAAGCCTCCACGCCAGGCTACAAAGTTTCAATTGTAGAAGTTACATAAATCCCAGATACCAGAGCCTCTGCTTGGGTCACCAGGAGTGTGTGGCTGGCCTGCAAACCACCACAGGCCCCTCGCCCAGATTGCCCCATGCCCCAAGGGAACCCCCACCCTGATCCGGGACACCCTTCAGGGCAAACCAGCTGGCCCCCACCCATGCACCAGGACTCTTTCCTATCTAATAAGAGTAATATGCAGATTGACCATTACTCCAACACACAATATGGCTGCCCCTATGTGGACACAAGATGGCCACCACAAGATGGCCAGCAGGGGAGGACAGTTGGGAGGCACCAGGCCTGCAAGGGAGGGCAGTTGTGGGTGATGTAAATCTTCAAGGCTTTACATCATCCTGACAAAATATTTTCACAACTTCCTTACCCTCCCAAGTTCTGGCTCCTAACCCCTGACTCTCTGTTTTAGCTTTTGCTATTCTCTCTCTTCAACTACATATTTTTTAGAGAGAAGAAGGGAGTGGGAGAGAGAGAAACTTCAATGTGAGAGCATAACATGGATCTGCTGCCTCCTGCATACCCCCTACTGAGGATTAGGCATGTACACAGACCAGGAATCAAACTGGCAACTTTTCAGTCCACTGCGTGACGCCCAACCAGGATGATGCCCATCCAAATCACATTCACAGGTATTGGGGTTTAGGCCTTCAAATTACCTCTTCGTTGGGGGATACAATTTGATCCACAACAGTTGACTGAGTTTAAATGTAATGCTCATGATATCTTTCTTGTTTTCTACTTTGAACAATATCTTTTACCAATAAAACTAATTAATTTACAAAATATGTGACTTTCACACAACTTTTCATTAAGATTTTATGATTACCTATGAGTAGGTTCTTAATAAAATGTATTCATAGTCTACAAAAGATTGATCACAAGAACATGACTCTGGATTTTCCCTTTTCCTTTTCCACTCCATTTCATAAGACACCAAGTCATACTAAATTCCTGCCTGCATGTTTCTCTTCTAACCAATTTTCTCCTTTACAACTGCTCCTCTCTCCAAGGTATTCCCCCCAGCTCCCTTCCTCATCTTCCACCTCTTCCCCTAGCTGATATATCCTCCATGGTGTCATCTCTAAGTGTTCACTTTTCAAAACTTTTTTCTAAGCCAGTCACTTCCCAACTCAAAGCCAGAATAACACCTGCCAGTGGCTCAGCCAGGTATGATATTCTGGGCACTTTGGGTACACATTTCTTATCAAATACTCCAAAGAGCCCCCTCCATTACACCACCACACACCCTAAGTTCTGTTTTATAGATTTCCAGAGAGGACGGCTACATTTCCCAAGATCAAACAGCTGTAGGTCAAGTCAGTTTGACCACAAGGTTGGTCATCTTTCCTACAGTTCCAGTGACTCCAAATTTTATGACTCTGCACCCCCATCAATAATAATT